AGATCAGGCCGAGTGTCGCGACCACCTGAAAGGTTCCAGGCGGGACTATGAGTGTGGTGGAGGTGGTGAAGGCTGTGATTGTGTATATAGTTGTAATGTAAATAGCGTGTCGTAAGTGTCGCATTGTTCAATGTATGATTGTTTCCGTGAGGGGGGAGGGGTGTTACGGGCGGCTGTGACCGCCCGTTGTGGCATGCCTGGCGCCGCCCCTGCCGCGTGGCCCTCGGGCGGGGTCGAGGGCTGGCGCTGGCTGGGCGGTCGGCGGCCGGGGAGAGGCAGGGAGACCGTGGTTACGAGCGGTTGGCTCTGTGGTTCTTGTTTGGGCCTCTGCCGATAATACAGTAAAGCATCGAGTCTGAGTGTGTTCAGCTCCCGCAACAGGTACGCTTTGTCAAGGAAATGTACGCGATGTGATTTCCCAATTGTTGGCACATTTGATATTTGGCAGTTGCAATTGAGTCATACCCCATATATTTCTATTGTGTAAGCGTTGCCTATACGAGTGCGAGAGGCTTCTGGAAAAGAGGACCACTCAAAGCGACTGCTGTTTATGGCTAGTGAACAGACATGTTGAGAAATAAGTTCACCTCAAAACAGGTAAATATCAATGCCACAGCCCGCAAGTGCAACAACATTCTACCTTCCCCTCCTCGAGCTTTGTTTCTATGCTATTATTTGTCGATTCGATTACAATACAAACCTGATGACTGTTCGACAGCTTGATAAGGTCACGCATTTGTCAAAATCATTATCAACTTGACTAACTCGTCAAATTGACTGCATTTTAGCTGCCTTGCGAAGCTTTCAATTGGCATTGTAAATCTGTTTCCTGTCACATGCACCTTACAAACCGTCAATGGGCGACCAGCACCGGAGCTGAACTATCAAGTCATGGGGTTTTGCACGGGGTGACGTTGTGTTGCCGGAACCAACGGCGCGTATAGCACGACTGCCCTTGAATGCCCGGCCGAAAGTGGCCTGTGTTCGCGGTCCGTGTCCGCCCGGCGCCCTGCCTCGTAGGCAGACAACCGCAGTCTTTGAGTGGCAGGCAGCACGATTTGGACGCAACAAGACTGGCAGAGAGGACTTGTACGGATCAGCTCGATCGTTGCGACACAAGCCCGTCGGAAGACAGCGCCTGTATGGACGTCTTGGACGAGCCGGCTTGGTGTGCGGATGAAATGCTATAGTGCGTCATTTGTGTTTATCGAGGAAGCTGTGAGAACCAGACTGTTCGCTGGCGACCACCACACCAACCCACCGGTAAACTCTTCAGTCAGTCTGTGCCTTCAGTCATCTGTGACATTCGTTAGCAGCCTCGGGAGGCGACAGCCATTCCAACATCTGTGAGAAGCGGCTTCGACGTCCACCATGAAGCCGGTACGTCTGTCCGACTCATCCCCGGACCTGAGCTGGATGTCCGGCTCGGACCAGCAGGATAACTGGCACCAGCAGCGGGTACGCGCGCTGCTGACCCGGCGCGTCAGTGACCTGTCCTCCAGCTGGGGCGGTTCGTCGTCTCGCTCCACCGGCTGTCGGGTGCTGGTGGCCGCTATGACGACCGTCATCGTCTGCTGTCTGGCCGGACTGCTGACCATCGCCCTCAGCCAGGCGGTGTACGCAGTGCGTGCCGCACACGAGCCGCTGCCTCCCGAGAAGGGGATGTTGACGGAACTGCGCCCTCAGCAGCACGTGGCTCGTGCCCTGAGGCTGGCCAGCCGACAGTCCACGGACCCTGCGCTGGGAGGGCCGCCGCCGATTCTCACTTCATCGCCGGACTCCGCCCCAGCCGGGGAAGGGCGACATCAGAAGCAGGAGCGCCAGGAGCAGCAAGCTAGGCGTCAGGATCAGCACGCACAGCTTCTTGGGAATCAGGCTGATGAGACTCGGCGCCAGGAGGTGGTTTACCAGCATCTTCTGCAGCGAGTACATACCGATTTGCAAGAGGATAATGGCGGACAGAGGCAGCACGTCTATCAGAAGTTATATCAGCTGCTGAGTGACTACCATCAGCCTCCACATGGGCGTAGAAGTCGGATGAGATGGCAGCATGGAGATGAGAAAGGCGGACGATGGCGACGCTCGGCGGCAGATCCGCGACGGCGCTCGGACCTGCGTCCCCGCCGCCACCTGGCGCAGATTTGGAGTCGGGACTGAGTGGTAAAACCGAGCTTTGCTGCGCGCCGGAGTCCGTCACAAGTGAAGCTACTCTTGAAACCGTGGTCCCGTGAAGCATCCCGGTGACATACCGCTGGCAGTCGAAGTTATAGAGAGTTGCACTGGCTATGGCAGCAACATGTGGGGAGATCAGCTTTGTGGCAGCCTCGAGCAGTGGCAAACTGCAGTTCAGCACATAGAGAAGTCATATCAGCACTGAGCTTAAGGAAGTGCGTCGTGCTGGATAGTCCTGGACAGTGGACAGGCCATTGTAGGCACTACCAAATGGTTGGTAGTGGCTCGATCAGTTCGAAAGAGTGTCAGGTCACCGACCAAACTCGTTTAGCGTCTGTACTCTGTATGATGTCAATGTGTTTCGGTACAGAAAGACGACGACGTGGCGATGTTTTCTTTAGCTTGGCTGTGAGCCACGGTGCAGTATCTGAGAGGTTTGGGCCCTTTCAGGGGCCACAGTGGTTGAAGGACCAAAACTACAGTTTCATTAAAAGAAAACTTGATAATGGAAAGCAATGGTGGCGAAAGTGAAATGAATTAGGACAGCGAATGATGACAGGAGTGGAGTCGCTCGCGCAGTGAACAACAGTCCTCCATGTGGCGTACCAGATATAATGTTTCGCGCTGGCCCTATAACCATGTCACCTCCTCGTCCCTGCCCCACCTCCTTAGATCCCCTACAATGCTCCTTCAACGGACACCCCTCGGTCTCCGCTCGGATGACCAGATCGACACGTCCTTACCACCCCTGTCCGGCATTGTCCTGGCCCACAGCCAAATGCAGATCACCGGCATCTATCACCTCGTAGTGAGTCAGTGCTGGGGGGACGGTGGGGTGGCGACGGGGCGCTGACTGACCGGGGGACGGTGGTTCAGCCGTGTGCCTTCGCGCTCGTCTGTGCAAGTTTGGTTTGAGCTGTGATTTCAATACATTTTTTTAGGGGAGGCACCTGTTGCGAGACCTGATCGACGGGGTTGATGTCATGAAGTTTCGTGTTATGTTTATAATTTGTTTGGAAAATACTTTTTTCTGGTCGAGAATATGCTTCGCAATGCTTTATATATTTTGATGAAATGGAAGGCTGTTTGTCAGCTACCCCGGGCAGCTTCTTTCTCTTCAGTCTTTGCCCGATTAACTGCGACCTTTTTCAACTTTTTAAAGCTTTTTTTTCAGTAGTTCGAATTTAGCTATAGATAACGATTATGAGCTACGTCATACGGTGAATCGTCTCTGCCCAAGAACAGCATATGGGGAAGGCGAAGTGTAATTACTGTCAATAACTGTTCCAGGTTAGGAAATGTATGAATAAGCCGTGTTCAAATGACCTTCGTGCAGAGCTCTGTGACCATTAGAAGGCGGGCAAATGGAGGGTACGATGACATATCTCCACTGTCGCTGCCGAGACGATCTCCTGTCCCACCGCTATCCCTGCTACGCGAACCGAGCGGTCATCGTATTCACGCAGTCTGATTTAGACGAGGCAGCTGTTGCGAGACTCGATCGACGGGGTAAAAGTGATGAAGTTTCCTGCTATGTTTATAATTTGCTCGGAAAATACAAACTTTTGTTCATTTGAAATTCTAGACACGGTATCGCCGACAGAATTAAGAAGATAACATGAAGTTCAGGTTTAGAATGTTTGCGGTCTCGGCTTGTCCTTTTTCTTGTAAGAACCGTTACATTTGTGAGGTATCGTTTCTGCTCATCGCACTTGTTAGCAACAGGATAATCCCAGTTATTTACACCTCTGTGCTCTTATTTATGAACTTGGTCCCACGCGCCCTAAGCAGCTGAAATATTTCGGGTTTTCTCAGACTCTCGGAGTTCATCTGACCACATACTCCATGATGGTGCTCGTTTTATTTGGGAAATCTGCTGTTAAGCGTCGGCTAAGCCTCCTGTGTTCCGGTTGGTGACATGGGCTTTGGGCTTCCCGGTCGCAGTTGCGCCGTTAGATGCAAGCTCAGTCTCCGAGTGATCAATGAGCATTGTTTGCAAGTGCTCTGTTTCAGGCCCACTTTGCATTTGCGAGTCAACTGGCCATCAACTTATCCATATTTTGAGTATCATCGAACGATATTTCAAGTAAAAGTGAAAAAAAAAACAATTCCAACTTCTTATTACTAAGGAACGTGTCTAGTTTTATAACCTGCTGCCACGACGGCTGATCTGTTCCTATCCAATCCGCTTATTTGCACCTTTTCGTGACCCGCAGAGCCACCTCCTCCCCTGCTACTCGTATATGAGAGACACTCGGCCGATAGTCGGTGGCCGGACGTGGGAACTGCATCGGCCACGGGCTGACGGTCAGGGCCGTCTTCATTACCGTGATCCGATGGAAATCAGCGTCTGATCTGTGACCGGCTCATCGCTGCGCCAATATCGCCGCATCAATGACGGCGGCATTTTTTGCGCCGCCAAGATTACTGATTTATAAGTAGCTGAACAAATCCGATATTCATAATGGTATTCCGGTAAGAGGTGTGATATAGTACGCCGCCCGTTATCAGCCCGTCTCTGCTCAATGTCGAGCAGATTGACCGTGACAGCGGCTAAATGCCTTAGCTCGGGTCTAGCTGTGTTAGATCCGGCAGGGTGGCTCCGTGAAACTTGTGCGTGAATTCAATCCCACTGAAGGTCGTCGCAGAAGCAAAAAAAAAATCTGGAAAATCACACTTATTTTGTTACTTCACTGAGAATGCAACCACGCTGGCGTTGTTGCTTTTGTTGTTGGAAGTGTAAACTGTTGGGCTTACATTTAACTATTTGACGTCCCGACAAATAGCTATGATGTGGCAACGCTGTGCTGTTTTATTCCGGCAGATTCACTCCATCGTATATCACTCGGACCAGGATCCGGTCACCGGCAGTATGGGACTCAAACTGGAGAGCAATACTCGCAGGTAAATGCCAAGCCCATACTGGGTCTTGATATCGTTACTCCTCAAATAAATGACTTTTAAACGCTCGTAAATATCTTCTTTACAAAAAGTCAAATACATAAATGATAAATTTTCGATCACGGATCTTTGTCAAATCACATTCAAAATTCAAATTTGAATGTGATTTATCACATTCATTTGAATTGAATGTGATTTGACCTCGACCACAGACAGACACATAGACAGACACATTTGAATTTTGAATGTGATTTGACAAAGATCCGTGATCGAAAATTTATCATTTCTGTATTTGACTTTTTGTAAAAATATATCCTGCATACAATTTCAAGGAGAGGTCATTCAAAAAGGATTTTAAAGTACAAATGCTCCTTGCTCAAGCACTAAGAAAAGCTCGTAAATATCAGTCAAATATCGCCATCAAGTTGACAATTTTCTCGGCTGAATGTTAACTTTGAAACGTGATAAACCGGCCAAACTAGCGCTGCAGACACGGCCTGCACACTCTATCTTCCTCTCTCCTTCCCCAACCCCTCCCTCGCTTCCTCCTTATCTCGGACCTCCCATGTTCTTCTGAGCTCTCTCTCTCTCTCTCTCTCTCTCTCTCTCTCTCTCTCTCTCTCTCTCTCTCTCTCTCTCTCTCTCTCTCTCTCTCTCTCTCTCTCTCTCCCTCCCTCTGTGGTCCGTAGTTAACGCTCTTCCTGTGCCCTGTTCTTCCTGTGTGGCAGACTCCTGGTGGATGACCGTAAGGAGGTCTACTACCGCGCCGAGGTGCAGAACCGCTGCTACCGACGTGAGGTCATCCAACTGGAGAGAGAGGTCACCGCACTGGAGCGAGAGCTGAACACGGCGCTCGGGTCACCGGACAGCTCCCGGTCATCGCAGGTCAGTCGAGGGTCAGGGGTTCCCATAGCTTCATATGTTTCGGCGGAAGGGAATGCAGAACAGAAGATAAATCCCGTAAAAAGCAGGGGTCGCCATCCATACTGTGTGTGCAGTTCCTGCGCAGTGTTCAGCTGCCTTCCCCGCCTCTACCTGTTTCAGAGCTCGTTGTCCGGGGAGTACCCGGCTCGCCCGCCGTGCCCAGCCGCGCCGGAGCCGGCAGACCGGGAAGACGTGCTCCTGCTGCTGCAGTTCCTGCCGCCGGGTCCGGCGCTGCTGGCCCCGCCCGCCAGTCGGTCTCTGTGCGCCTCCCTTCCCTCCCTGCACCTCCCTGACGGCGGACCGGGCCTGTGCCGGCGCCTGCCACCCGCCGGTAGTTCCACCGAGCTCTGGCGGCCCTCCCGGACCGCCGGCCGCCGTAAGGACCGACTGGTAGTGCCCACCTACCGAGTCAGCGATTTGAGCGTCATCTCACCGAGCGCGAGCCTGCCGCCGCCGAGACCCGACTCCCGGGAGCGGCACTGCGCCGTCCAGGAGGGCGTGCGCACCCTGGAGAGCACCCTGGAGAGTCTCAGTGACCGGTTTCCCGTCACCTACCGGATACAGATCCGGCCGAAACCGGCAGCGACCTCCGCCGCCGCCAACGGCCGCCTGTAGCGCCGTCTGGTGGCCGGCCGGGAGGACGCTGGCTGGATGGACGGCGGCAGAGGTAGGTGGCGCTGAAGAGGACGTCTTCAAGTCACTTCTGACTGCTGTTCTACAGCCGCGGTCATTGGCCAGGGAGCATCGACTGTGACTTCTGAACTGTTTGTCGCGCAGGCTACACCACTGTGCCAACTGGCTAGTGCTGGGCCCGCATCAATTCCCAGGGATTATCGAAGTTGACCAGTTGCAGCTGGGCCGTCAGAATTTGCTGCGTTGACCACATCCTGGCTAACGGCGAGCGAGCAGGCAAATTTGAGAAGTGATAATTATTGATGCGCTCGACCCACACACACTTGTTTTACCTAATCAGACGGTTTGTTGCATGTTTACATCAGACATGTCCTACCAGCTATTCAGATGCAGAGCAGTCCATGAAGTTTTAATGTAATTTTAATTTCATTTGTTACTCTTTTAACCAGCATTTTTTTTTAGAATCATAACCCTCAGGTACAATTGAGGTCACGTGTCGCACCTAAATAAGTCAGGGAAATGACTAATGTGAAAATGCCTGTTCGATGTCGGTCTCTGAGCGTTTGTAGTCAGAAGTTGTTATATATTCGTGGATTTGCTTTGCATTGCCCAACTCCAAAATATAGCCCGCTAAAACGTTGCCAGCTGTGAGACATGGCTGGAAAAGAACCATCAACTTTTTCTTGGTTGCCAGCGTGAGAAATCTGTTTGGTGTTTTATTGAGCTTCTCAGGTGCCTGTGGATACACATAATTGCTTTGAACTTGATTACTAGCATTATGTGATTCATTTGTTTTTTGTTTTTGTTTATTGCTGTTGTTTGACCACATCAATATGTTCGCGTGTTAATTCCACCTAACATCATTATCATTGTTCGGAAGCAATAGATGTCCCAAAGTACAAAAGGTGAAGTGGACCTCTGTCCTGTCGCTACTTTGATTGTTTATTCAACTGACGTACCAAACTTTGTCAATAATTGGATAAATACCTATATAATACTGTTATGATGTTGAATGTTTGTGTGTAGCGCTGACATGTCAGGGTAACTTGAACCCAACACCGCAACTCACGATTGAGGAAGTGGGATGTGTTTGGCATTTGGGAGCAATGCATTCAGTGTGAAATATGTAGAGCAGACATTGGCACATTTGAATGTAAAATACATATCGACCAGTGAGCAGAGAATTTACATACACTGCTGACTTTCTGGAGCGCGATATTTCGATCAAGACGCTAGTACTCGTATCCTGGTGTGTGCCTGTAAAATGACCAGCCCTTTATGAATCCGTTTGTTCTATGTACATAGCAGACTGTTTTAGGGACCGCTTGCATTCTCTGCGCACCTGAACATCTCTGTCTCACGATTACAGTACAGCCGTGTTAAAGGGACCCTCCCACCTTCAAAAAAGTTTATGAATTGGCATGAAAGTGATGTCGCTCGGCTCAGAAAGAGCGAAAACGAATATTTACCAAATTTCACCGAAAAATATTCACCGGTTTTCAAGATATTAGACTTTTACTTTTGTTTACTTTTTTGGGATCTCCACTGTTTCTAGCGACTTTATTTCAGAAGTGCAGCGTTTGCGGCAGATGTTGCGCGCAAATAGCATATACCACCGCGTGCTACAAAACGTTTTAGTCAAACATTTAAAAATCGTTAGATATCTGCGCTGACGTCACACATTCAGAGGGGTATTCCTAAGCATTAGCCCCTCTGAATCAAAATGCTGCAATTTTGAAATTCAATATTTCTGATTTAAGGCATTTCTCGATGTTGTGAGTGCCGAAACCGGTAATTGTGAGCCAGGGACCCCATTTTGGCTATCTCAACTCAAATCTAATGTTAAGGTGGGAGGGTCCCTTTAATAGCAGACTGCATTACGACCAGCTGCATCATTCGGTCTGTTTTATCAGGTTTGCAGAATATCGTTTATTAGCAGATTCAAGACACGTCGCTGGATTGGTGGCGGTTTTATATTGGCAACGATTAACTTCTCTGGCAGCAACATTTTTATTGGGGCGATGGCGTGCGCTTTATTAAATGCAAATGTAATAGCTTGCATTAACCCTAGAACGCCTAGGGGGGGGGGGTTGTATCAACCCCCCCCCCTGAGGTTTTTTCGAAGTGCACGCTAAACGGCTTGTCGTAGCGGGCTGAAATTTTCAATACCCTCTGGGGCAACCTTTGCGCATCTTTTGCCGAAAAAAATTGATCGGGTCATGTCAGGTCACGGAGTTATGACGTCATAAGAGGTACAGCCTCCGGCCGACAGTTACCAAACGTGTGCGCCGAATCCCTAGGTTTTCTGCCGGTGATACCCACATTGTTTGATGGATCATGATGAAACTTCCCATGCATGTTGGGGCAAGCATTGGCTATCGTGTGGTGCAAGAAAATTGACCGGGTCAGGTCAGGTCACGGAGCTATGACGTCACAAAAGGAACAGCGTCCGGTACTATTTTTGAAAAGCGCCCGAACCACTATTTTGCTAATTCTTGTCACCTCAATGGGAATATGCAGCAATATTAGCTTCTATAGGGAGCAAATGGACCTCCCAAATCCAAAAATACAATCAGATTTCAAAAATTTAAATTTTGATTTTTCGAATTTCTGCCGCCGACTGTGACCTTGCCGACTTCCGGCGCTCCCAACGCGCCATTTTTAGACCTAGGGAAACGAAATACATACCAAACGATAGAGAATTGATCAAGAAACACGATAGCGAAGGTTTCAAGTCGATATCTCCCACCGTTTTGCCGCAATCGCCGCGGAAAGTTGAAAAAAGTTTGATTTTTTCGGAAAATTTGACCTTTGACCGGTCATAAGTAGGTCAAATGTTGACCTAGGACCAAAAAATATACCACCAATCGCGAGATCTCGTTGAGAGCAATCCGTTGGTTTTTTCCGCTAAGCTCTACGACCTTCCGTTTCGAAACGCCAGGGGGGGTCGTAACAACCCCCCCCCCCCCCTGGTCGTTCGTGTTATGAGAAATGGCCTGGTCGTGCGAGGGTTAAGTCACGCAGTAAACCACCTCTCCGTTCATAAAAAAACGTGCGGTTAATGTTGCGTCTTGCGTCGCATTACCATAAACCGTAGAAGTCGTCATTGTTTTCGACAGTTCGCCACTACTCTAGAGCTTGCAAGCTTGTAGCTGTTGCCATCTTGGTATATGAATATGACGTAGGTATAATCAAATGCAGCATTGCAATGAATTACATATACAGCCAACTAGCAAGACCCGAAGTACCTACATATGAAAAAAGATCGCCTATCACGCGCGCGACTTGCGCTTGGTCATGTTTCTCAATCATCCTCGTTCTTCACAGTTTGCCGTCTCAGTCGCCTGTTTACTGGGCGCGCACGGACGAATGTGCTGGCATGTCGACGCTGTTCCCTCACGGTCACGTTCTGACTCCACAGCGCTGTTTGTCGGGTGATTTTAGATACAGGGTGGCAGGTTACGACAGCGTCGATAACGCTCCATGCGACGGGGACACCGACGGCCCCCATTCCTCGGGTGGACCTGACAACATCGGGTAACAGAAAATACGGTCAATGGGGAAAATGAGACATGAGTCATTTCAGATAGGGCTGAAAGATATTGACTAGACAAGTTAAATCAGTCACAGGCCGCTTGGGACCTTCGAGAAAACACCAGTGTGTCAAAGGCGCTGAACAGTGTACACGGTTCCTGGAACATTCACCTTCTCAGAACAATTTCAAGCCATTTAGTTGCAAAGCTTTCAGGATTGATATATAAACCACGCATTCTAGACAAATGTGTTACTTAACCTTCACAAGCAACAACTCCTTCTCCTTCTCCCTCTCGTTTTCCTCCCTCCCTCGCCCCACTCTGTTCCCACCTTGATGCGTCTGACGCGCCGCTGTCTGCCGGAGCCACGGCGGCCACAGGTGCGGTCACAGGGCTCCCAGGGCAGCCACGGGGTGACCATGCAGTCCACAGGCTCGGGGGCAGTCGACACCAGGTTATGGGCGGCAGGGGAGCCGCCGCCGCCGCCAGCCACCACTGTGGGGAGGGACAGAGGTGCCGTGTGTGTGTCAACGAGTTGGGACACTGGGAGAGTGTTTGATAGATCGCATACGATATGTGATAAAGTGCCTCAGCCTGCGATAAAAGTCAATACAATACAGCAGAAGCAACATGGACGCTAGTGGATGGAAAGTCACAACCAGGCTAGGCTGTCTAAGAGGAAGATCTGTTTATCTGTATTAATTAACCCGCGCCCGGCTGGGGGTCCTGGATTTCCACGCCCTGCTGGGGGGGGGGGGTGTTTGAACACCCCCCCCCCTTCTAACTCGGCTCCTGGGCCACGTAGCGATACGCGGAAGGCGGCGTTCGAAAGAGCGTCCAAAATAATGACGAAATCACTTCGGTCAATTTTTTGGTCAGGTCAAAGGTCAGGTCACCAGAGGTCATTGAAGGCAAAATTTCGCCGATATCCAGGTCGAAAGTCGAAAATTTCCAAGAAGCCAACGCATAACTCGGGAACCAATAGAGCTACAGCGCCGCGGAAAAGCGCATTCGATAGCCCTATTAACGTCCTTTCTGAGTAATTTTCTCAGATTTGACCTAACGTCAACGGTTTTGCCTGCAGGGGGCAAAAACTGCAAAAATAGCCGATTTTTTTCGGAAACAGTTTTTCTGCAATAACTTTTGACCCAAGCCTTGTACGAGCTTACTTTTACCAGTATCGTGTTCCTCTCGTCAAGACGCATCGAATGAACTATAATTTGACCTTGAAAGGTCAACTTGAAAATTTGACCTCAGGTCAAGGTCATGACCTGACCGGAAAGGGTCATGTTGCATATCAGTCGATCCGTATCGTCGAGCTGAACACATCTAAGGTGTTTTCATCGCTCTAGCATGCCTCTATCAAAAGTTATTTGCGAAAAACTGTTAGATACCATTCGTGACCTAAGATGACCTCAGGGCATAAACAGGGGTCACGGACACCATTTTCATGTTCAGTGTGTCTAAAACACTTGTTACTCAGTGTTTGGGAGTGTTTATAATGTCTTTCGTCCAAAAGAGACGCATTTCAATTTTCTCCCATTGACTTATAATGGGGAGGTCGCAAAATTGACCTGACCTTAGTTCACCGATATCAAAATTCTGAGATATACATTTTGTACATGCTGTTGCTCTTAGCAATCGCTGAAAGTTACAAAGCGATCGGTCACTCGGTGTAGCTTTGACAGACATTGAAACTTTTTATGAGGTGAGGTCACTTCAAGTGACCTGGTGACCTGACCTTGAATGACCTTGGTCTGAAATTTTCACAACATGTGTAGAATTGATGCATGATAAGGTGTACCAAAAACGGCGGCGCGGAGCGCCGCCGTTTTTGAGATATTCGCGAAAAACCACAAGGGGGGGGGGGTGTTCAAACACCCCCCCCCCCCAGCAGGGCGCGGGTTAATGTTTCACGGGATTTACTGTAACTTTTGTGACATCGGCATAGTTCTGACCTGACCTGCACCCACCTGAGCAGGATGTCTGGCAGTCCTCAAACGTCTCGAAGTTGTTCTGGTTTCCGCGGCAGCCTCCGTAGACGAACCTCACGCACATGCCCTTCATCGGCTCGAAGTACCAGCGCTCGAAGTTACCGCGACAAGGGCCCATCTCTCGAGGCAGCATACACACACCTGGAACATATATATAGTGGTGCTCAGAATGAGCGATAACGTTTTAATTGAATGACGTAATTCATCGAAATGTAACGAGTAAGACACCCAAATGTGACGAGTTAGTCATCGAAATTTCACCCTTGAATAAAAATAAACGAGAAACAAAGGCCAATTCGTATCTCAAAAACAGTGCACTACAATTGAATAGATTGCTATCTGCGAGATAAACACGTTCTGCTTTTTTATTCAGCCATGCGGCAGGTGCTGTCTCACGTTTAGCCTCCATCATGTCCAGGGTGCAGCTCCTTCTGGCCGCCTCACAGGGACCCTTGTCCATCAGCCGCACGTGCTGACACTGGGCCTGCTCGCGCTCCGGGAGCAGCAGCAGCCGGGCCCGAACCCGCTGTCCGCTGCCGCAGGTTACTGAACACGGCGACCAGAAACTCCAGTCGGTCACTGGGCAGGCGCTGTCCACCTGTGGTAGAAGATACACAACAGTGAAATGCAGCCACCAGAAGTAGAGGTGGCAAAACTGGAAAATTTTGGGACCCGGACCCGGACCCGGTCTGACTGGCACATTTCTGGAACCGGTCAGACCCGGTCTAAGTCAGCATTGGAACCAGATGGACCCGTTCCCGAAATTCATTATGAAAATTGTGTACAGTTGTAGGTAAAGCAAGAAGAAAATAGTTTCTATCCAATTGGGCATGCTTGTGTTGCAAAGTAAAAAACTCATGCCATGGTCATTTCACTTCGCTTCACAGTTTGTATTTTAGAACCAGATTCAGGTCATATTTAAGAACATAAGAAGTAAGAAGACCAATGAATTTCATGCTAACCTAAGCCACTTTTACTACAGCTGCTAAAAATGATGTGAACTGGGGATCCATGGAGCAGTGCCTTCACCAGTCAGAACCTAACATCAACATGGAACAAGATAACATACTGATACATACCTTTTCTAATATTCTTGGTAAAAGATATTCGTTTTTAGAATTAATTCATTAGTCCTTACAATATTTTCAACCAGTGGCGGCGGATTCGATTTTGGCGTGGGGGGGGGGGGCAAGATCCCAGTCGAGATGATGTCATAGGCGGATCCAGAAAGGCGTTTTCGACGCTGTAGGGGACAAAGTGTCCAAAATCCAAAAACTCCTCGGATTTCGATTTCGATTACTGCTGAACAGTATAAAAAAAATCCTGCTAAAAATGTAATTATTAGGAAACATAAGGTACGTTTTGTCTATTTCGGGCGATGCAGGGGCAGGGGGAGGGGAGTTAATATTTGCTTTAAATGCCCGCTCCCTGGATCCGCCAGTGGACGATGTAACGCATTTCGTATTGCTGTATTAGAAAAAAGCTCCAATGGGAAAAAATTGTGCCATAACCCGATCGCATATCAGATGTTGAAGAACGGTGCCAAACCTTTTGAAGTAGGCGAGCGCTGCTCTTCAATGAGGTAACTCGTTACCATTTCCTCTGTTCATTTTACGTTGGATTTTCGTTTAACTTTCTTTAAAAAGTATTTCTGAGACAGATATCAACTGAAACTAGCTCACAGCGGGAGGAGACCGCTCAAACATTCAGAGACAGTCGGTCGCATCTAAACCTATTGGGACAGCGATCCGCCAGAAACCCTCCCCAAGGCAGTAGTTCGCCAACTAAGCTCACCGAGACGGGCTGTCTCGATGGGTTTATACAGTAAGCCTACAGCAAGGCTTAACTAAGGCCCAAATGCTCGTCAAGCTGGGAACGGAGGGCTGAGGTGAGGGAGCGCGGCGGCGGGCTGGGGTGAAGGAACGGTGGACTGGAACGAGAATCCAGAAGCTCTGGGTGGGGCGTTTCTTTATTAGGGCTTTAGGGTGCGCTGACTGCGGTAAGGTCCAAATTATCACACCAAATTTTGCCATGACATCTACCGGTTCAGGCACTCGAGAATCAGCGGCCAGTGATATCTGCAAAGACGAAGCATTTCCAACCCAGCTTCAGCCTGGTGTCAGGGCGCCTCAGGTGGCTTTAATTACAGTTGCACATATCAAACGACCTCAGTGCAGCAAGTCTGTGGCCGAAACCATTCGGAACAGACTTCAAGGAAAAGTGAGACAAGGTTAGTGCTATCGTTAAGTGCCATTATAGACTTGGGCCCCGTTGGCTTGACCCACTGGAAGGTGGTAGTTATCGGACGCTGCGGGGCATACTCATTTTTTCCCAAAATGCCTTAGATTTTGCTTTCGTGTTCATGGGCGGCGGAACGGGGAGGGCACCGGGGCACCGTGCACCCTCCTTTTGATTTTGGCATTTTAACGTTAGCCCTATGGGCGTTGCATGGAAAGAATGGGACCAAAAGTCGGCAGTGCCCCCCCCCCCCTTAATTGAAGGTGTTCCGCCGCTACTGTTCGTGTTTGATGCTCTTTATTCTATAGCCAGCCTTACGACAGAGGGGGGCCCACTAACGATTAGTGCCATAACCCTCAAAAGTTTCCAACATTAATTTTTACTTTTTTAATGGTGAAAACTGAAATAAAGCGGATATTGAACTGTGAACATCCAGTTTTTACACTGGCCCCACACAAGCCTCCGAATGCCCAAAGCAGATCTCTGATGACTGGCCTTTGGGTGTCATACCATACCGTGCATTGGTCAATGTGGTCAATGTGTACGACCTCGGCGTTTACCATTTTATGCGCTGGAAACTGTTGCGCTCGAAAAAATCAGGGGAGTGGCTTATTATGCGCGCTCATCAGTCCTAACTACCCGCAAGCGAATGGCTAGCCCTTCCGTCTCCGCTCGCTTGCGATTTGGCATTTATGTAGGTACAAAATAGCGGCAAACGACCACTGAAGGTATGAGTTGCGTCTCTCGCACACTTAAAATATATTTAAATCGAATCTGAAAAGACAAAAAAATGATATAAAGCGGAAATGGTTAGCATTTACACATATTCAAAAGGCACCGTTGGACAAACTGTAGGAGCGCAAAGCTGCAATATGGTTATGAAAATTACCACATGCAATAGAAAATATGCAATAGGCTATGAAAATTTTCCTCATGTTTAGGGCACAAATTATGGAGGGGCAAGAATATACGTTTACCCCTCCTCCAAAAGTTTCTTAGGGGACGGTGCCTCCTCTGCCACCCCGTATCCGTCGCCCCTGTAAGCGGTCACTGAAGGCCTGGGCTGCCGCTGCGTCACGTTGACGCTTATAATGCCTCCAAAACTAGGTTGAAGAGAGGAAACTTCAGTTGAACGCGAACGTTTGCCATTTAAGAAAGGCAACGTATGATAAAGTATATGGGCATCTGGTTACATCTTCAGATGATCGAACAGAATAATCAGCTATGTGGTTTCTTGTCTAAACTTTGTCACAAATTATGGGGGGGCAAAAAGATACTTTTGCCCCCCCACGAGTTTGCCAGGGGGGGCAGCTGCCCCCCCTGCCCCCCCCCCGAATCCGCCGCCCCTGTTTTCAACTATCCAAGGCCCCAAACGAGAAAACATTCAAAATCAAAATAGAAACATCAAAACATTGTGAGGTCCGCCAGAAATGTCGACACGATAGCAATGCAGGGACAAAACAGGCGTTAAATCACTGCAAAATTTTGTTGGGGTTAAAGTACTGCAAAATCGTAATGGCAAATGGCAATAAACTTTTAAGTAGGGGAAAGTGGGGTAAGACGGTCAGGGTAGGTAAGACGGGCACCCCTTCTGCAGACCAAACCAATAGCGCTACGAGCAAGAAAAGTTAGGACCAGAATTGCCTTTCCCACTACACACCACCATTCAAGTCTGGTGAATTTGTGTTCAGTCGATAATCTTTTATTTTGATTTCTTTAAAACACTCATTTCATTGAAAACATCCATAATGTATTGTGCAAGCTTTTGTGTACAGCACTATAGAGTTAAAAACTCGCAATCACTTGTGGTACACTCATATGCCAACAGTGTTCATTTACGGCGGATTTGCTTTGTCTGCATCAAATTGTCCACAGCGAAAAATCGTGCTGAACTTCTGACATTGAGTTTGGGGTAAGACGGGCAACTATGAACCCAATGGGTCTGTAATGGTGAAAATATTTTTGTTGCTGTAGGAAAAAAGAAGCATTTCTAATAAGAATATGTTCGATTCCGATACTCACAGACATGTTAGCAATATTCCTTCGGCACAGTTTATTCTCGAATAATGAATGTGAAAAACGGTTCTACATGGCTTCTGAACTAGGGCCTATATAGGAGCATACGCCTTCTGCACGAATCTCGTATACTGCCATTTCCGAAGCACTTGAGACCAACGAGCGACTGTATAAATGCGGCTAATCTCGGGCATTTGTTGCGAGCTGCGCTGATCGGTGAAAGAAGCTGGCCGTCTTGCCCTACCCATGTGACCGTCTTACCCCATGGGGTGGGGTAAGACGGGTTTTTGCAAGGTTTTGCAAAAATAGCTGCAGTTTATTTGTTGAATCAGGTCTAAGTCTCATCTTCTGGCAAATGAAAGTAAAATGTCTGAAAAAGGTTTTCACCCAGTTTCCCGTTTCTATGATGTTTCTAACCGGCCGAAAAATGGCTCCAAAGTTAAGGTGCCCGTCTTACCCCACTTTCCCCTACTGCAAGGTTGCGATCATAACTTAAGTGCCAATTTATTAACGTAGAAAACAAACCACATTTTTTGTTAGTACTTAGATATAGAATAAATACAAAGGGTTCTGAGACTTACTTGCTTTCTTCCCAAACGTGTTCCAAAATTGTAACCTTTATGCAGTAGATTAGCGTGCGTAAGGTAGCATATATGACGCTCAAATGCGCCATTTTCACATCAACACGGAATCATCGGCCTTGGAGAAGGGCATTGGTATTGACCAAGTTTTTTGCCAGCTGCTGCCGTATGATGGCGCTAGTAGAGCGCTATATGTATTATACGCTCTGCTAGCGCCACCTGCATGCGGCGCCAGTTGGCTAAAAATCTGATCAATACTACGGTTTCTGGAGAATGCCTTGGATTCATTTTTAGCTTTATGGATTTATGAAAGGGCATGTTGGTTTTATGAGTTGTCTTCTGGCCGTGATAGAAATAATTTCAAAGCTGTTTGAGTTATGAAATGCATTTGAATCAAACATGAACTCTGATTTCCGGTGGGCATAGTGACTTTGGTATGTCAATGTCTTTGAAGAGGCAGGTGAGAATGCCACTGGTCAGCCTTGCTTCAATTGGATTTGTGTCCATTTATAAATGGATTTCAGTCATACCTACTTACCTACATATGGTATTGGTATTTGATTTCTACAGCTCAAAATATTGCTAGGTTTTGTACAGCAAACTGAATGGAAGTGATCCGTACAAACATTTGGTGAAATGTTTTCTGGATTGATTTGCTAGCACTTAGAACTTGTTAATTCTGTTGTAGGTGACAAGATAAGAAATTGAAGCAAGACTGACCAGTATGCTATAGAATAGGTAGCCCAATCTGCAGGAATATTAAAATTCAAAAGTGGAATTGGGACTTATGAACTGGAAACTGCATCAACTATGACTATGTTTGCGCTTGGGTCGCAAGGCTACGCGTCCTATTCCAACAACAACAACAACATGACTATGTTTGCCAAAGCATTAAAAATATTAATTTAATATTTACCATAAAGCACAGGGAAATGATAGGACCCGGTAGGACCCGGCCAAATATTTTGGGGGACCCGGTCTGGACCCATCCGGGTCCAGACCGGTTCCATAGACCGGGTCCCCGGGTCCACATTTTGCCACCTCTAACCAGAAGCTCCAGTTGGTAACGGAACAGGCGCTGTCCACCTGGGATGGAAGGTATACAACAGTGAAATATGACGAGCATGAGCTCAAGTCGGGTGAGTGAATACTGGAAAAGGATACTGACCACCTTTAACAAAAGAACTCTAATCAAATTTCAACCATTAGTCTTGGTGATTGGCTTAGTTTACGCTCCGAGTTGACGTGTCGTGCGGTACAGCCTACCTCTGCGATTGATACTGCGCCGCACAACACAAACGATACAAACGTAGGGTAAGGGCGGGTAAGAGTACGCGGGCGATAAGAGTACGCATCAGCTGTTTCGGTTGCTTAGCAACGCGGGTTTGTCGAGTTCATGAAGTGACATGAAGCCGCCAGTGCGTCCATGTCACCAACGGAACGTGGGCGTTGAGCGGCGACGCTGTTGAGTTTAAGGCGATGAATATTATTTTCGAGCGTTATGATATTATTATGATATGGTACAATAATTTTGATACTTGGCAGTTGAGATAAGGTACATTTCCGTGATTGTTGTTGAAAACTTGTGAGGTTATCTGGGGAAATACTGTACAGTGCAATATTCTGTTTGCGAAGTTTTGCACAACGTTTCGGGGTTGCTTTGTGCGCGAATTGCATGTACGGTAAGAGTACGCACTGTTCAGGAGGGTAAGAGTACGCAGAATTATACATTAAATCGAATATACAGAAATATAGAATTATTAATCTATCGCTCAATGACGTTTGTTTTGTAGGGATATCATCAATGGAGCACTGTGATGCAGATGCGTACCCAAAATTCTTCCAAATACGAGTTATTCTCCTTTTTTATTGTGCTTTTTTTAAGAAACACACGACATGATTATTTCCTGATTTATAGGCTTGAAAGATTTATTTTATGTTTTTCTTTTTGGATACTAGAATTAACTTAAATGCCTTCTGAGTTTGAAGTTACGCATTTGGACAGTGCAAGCTGCATAGGTGTGTGTTCATATGCTTGCGTACTCCACCCGCCTGGCGTGCGTACTCTTACACACCCCATATGGTAAGAGTACGCAAGTGCAACGGTTCAGAAAATGTCAGTTTTAGACCACTTCCATTTACGCTGAAGGATCGTTGCCCCATGGGTTGATGGCTAATTCAATGAACTTTAATATTCCCTATTTGCGATTTCTTTCCTTCAAATATTAAACAAATGAGAGCAAGAAATCCACTAAGTGCGTACTCTTATACGACTTCACCCTAAGCTAAGCAGGCACAAACTATGCACTGAAGTGCAGCAACTTGACTTGGATAATTAGATATGCTATTGATCGTAGAACCATCATGTTATTTGGCAAAGCAAGCACCATAAACCAAAGAGAAGGGCTACCTGATAAGCTACTTTGCTGCTCAAGTTCAGTGGCAACGTTTAATGAAACGCAACAGTGAAACACAACGAGCAAAGACTCTAGCCAGTAACTGGCGACTGGTTATATTCTGTCCAGTGTCCGCGCACAGCGAGGAACTGTTAACCCGCGCACCGACGGGGGGGGCGGATATCCGCCCCCCCTGAGGTTTTTCGCGGATAGCGGGAAAACCGCGGCGCGTAGCGCCGCGAAATTTGGTATGACTATTCTCTCATCAATTTTACACATGGTGTGCAAGTTTGAACCTCCTAACTTTTAAGGTCAGGTCACCAGGTCACTTTGAATGACCCAACCTCAAGTCACTTTTTTGCAACTTTGTCACCGTGCCAGAGCTACAGTAGATGTCGGAGGCCTTTGAAAGTCGCAGGATGTTATTAGGTCATTAGTAGCTACAATTTGTATATCTCGGAATTTTGATGTCGGTGACCTAAGGTCAGGTCAATTTCGCGACCTCCCCATTATAAGTCAATGGGGGAAAAATCAACTCCCTGTTTTTACCACTAAAACGGGTCGGAATGGCCCCATATACCATACATGACTTCACATACGATCAACCTTCACTACCTTGAGGTCTGTTTTGCTGTTGGGCAGCTGTAAGGTCATGTGACGTCATCAAAGGTCACCAAAGGTTTTTTGCCAATAACTCCTTACAGGAACAAGATACAGCCGCGCGGATGGTCTCATTGTGTTCAGCTCGTCAAGACGCATCGAATGATATACATGATGACCTCGAGGTCACGTGACCTGAGGTCAACCTTTGACCTTGACCTTTCGAGGTCAACATATATATCATTCGATGCAGATTGACGAGAGGATCACGATGATGCCCTTAGTGCGTTCCTATCTTGACTACTTCGAAAGTTATTCGAGAAAAACCCTCTCCATATCTAGCGCCGCCATTTTGACTTTTTCGACCCCTGTGACGTCATCTTTGACCTGACCTGAAAATGACCTTTGTAAAAATTGTAGACCTTGTCCGTGCGTATCCGATGCCGTTTACCGCTTGTCGCTATCTTGCTTCGTTCTCGAGATCTCAGGGGGGGGCGGTCATCCGCCCCCCCCCCGTCGGTACTAAGTTGGCGCAGACCCCCGTCGGTGCGCGGGTTAAGTAGGTGTTTGTGGCAGCCCTCGCCTACGCTCCGCCATTAATGTGCTATGCGGTGCAGCCTACCTATACTGTTTGGGATGCTGCACCGCATAGCACAAACGTTGCGAGCTACATATGCAAGCACATACTGCATAGAAAAGGCGACAACGTGCAGCCTTGAAGCCGGCACGCTATCCTTATTGAAAAGGCATGATAATGATTAAAAATTGGTCGCTCATAATCGCCGTTTTTTGGCTTTGATGAAACACATATCCCAGCGATGTCGGTCCAGTCTGCACCACGCACGATGTATGACAACAATCATAAAAAATGCTTACCTCCTCCTCTTCTGTCTCCGGACACTCGGCCTGCACCGCCATACACTTCTCCTTCTCTTCTGTGTCGTGGAAGCACTTCTTCCTGCCCATACGGTCCAGGTAGTTCCGTCTCCGCATCCTGTAACAAGTATTTCAATTAAAACGCAATTTTTAATGGACGTAATTTTTATTGTGAGCGTAAGGGCTGAAATAAACTCTTTCCGCAGTCAGCAAATTGCATGCAAGAGTCTAAAACCCTGCTCGCATCAATCGCATGCGGGAGGTGCGTACGATTGATGCGAACGTGATTTAATGGCTTTGAATAGGCTCTCGCATGCGATGTCCTGACTGCGGAAAGAGTCTGTTTCAGGCATTACTGACCACAATTCATGAACGCAAGCTATCCTTCCTGAAGTTAGCAAGTGAAGAGACGCTGAAACTGACCACAAAGACTGAACACCGACCTGAAGCCCTTGCTGCAGTCTGCAGGTGACCGAGCACTGTCCCAAAGTCTGTGTTTGTGCTGACTAGTGAACATTTATCTGATTTCGAAGGTGGTCTAACAACTGATCTCAAGCCCTGGCCGGCTGGTTGACCTAACCACTGACCTGAAGCCCTGGCCGCAGGTGACCGAGCACGGCGACCAGGCGCTCCACGAGCTCATGGCGCACAGGCCGCTCAGCTCCCCGAGTCCGGAGTGGTCTGACACGGGCCGTGGCCGGCCGTCGCACGTCAGCGGGGCGTCACACAGCACCTGTCGTGACGGGAGGGTGTCACATATCACTGGAGCGTCACGAAACACCTGCCAAGACGAGATGAACGTACAGCGGGATTATTGCACAACACCTGTAGTGAAGCAAATGCCATGCTACACTACCTTACACTGCACAGTGAATTATGAGAAACGCCAAGGCACAGGAGCGCTGGCGTTGTCACCTCATTTGCTTGTTTTTCAAAGTGCTTGAGTCATTTACACCTTCCCCAAAGTGTTCAAAAACGTAAGCTTACCTTTTCGACGAGTTGCTGTTTGCAATTCATCATCTGCGCCTTTGCGGGTAGTTTGTACTCCCTGGTGCGCATACTCAGTCCTTCCCCACACGTGACAGAGCACTCGGACCAGTCGCTCCACGGAGTTACCATACACTCGGCTGGGAAAGAGTGGGACACATGCAGTAAATGAAAACTCGGACCAGCCACTCGTCTGAGTTGCCGTACGGCGTACAATCGGCTGGGAAGGATAAGACACTCAGATGAATGCTCGGACCAGTTACTCCATGAATTTACTATACACTCAGTTGTAAAAGAGTGACATATACATTATGCACATTGACTTACGTTCAGTTCAGCCTCGCCTGCCTAAAAATTCACTATGAATCTGAAAACGAAGATAAACACGATAGCTTTATAAGAGCCATGGAAACATCACCTTGTCAAAGTCCTACACAGAGTTCGCACTTCACTTCAAAGAGAGTTCACCATCTGCGACTTTCTTACGTCGGTCATCGCGAGGCAGGTCGTCTGCTCCCGATGTGTGCCGTCCCACGTCCGGCTGATGGTCGCAGCTGCGGGGGATGACCCGGGTCCGGGTCAGGGTGATGCGCGCCACGGGTGCCGCCGGCGCGCCAAAGAAGGGCGCGCGCGGGTCGGCAGGCCACTCAGCGGTGATGGCGCGAACCGGCTGCCGCTCCGCCTCAGGAGCGTTCGGAGACTGCCAACGGAGACCAGAGGTTCGTGCCAGATGGATTTGGCTAAAATGTGGTTGGTGGAAACTATGAGGAGGAACGTACTGTGCGATGGGGAGGAACGTATACTCTAGTTAGTGGACTCAAGAGAAGAGTCCACAAATATTACACAATGACAAAGAAATTCATGAACTGAGAGCCACTGGACCAACCTCGTAGCTGATGCCGCTGTCGGTTCCGGCGTCATACAGTCCGAGGTCGATGACCTTCTCCTCCATCCAGGAGCAGTTCTTGAGGCAGAGGTTCAGACCCGACACCCCCAAAATCCAGTCCGGGGACGGCCCTGCACAGAGAGGCGAAAAGATGTGAAACTTTACCCAGGCAATCCTTGGCAAAAGGCGAAACACCAACCACCACACTTTACATCTGCTTCGAAACAAAACAGTGTACTTACAAAACATGTTCTTACTCAGATATCATCAGTTTCGAGCCATCTGACTTGTAAGATTTGCGCGTTCATGGGTGAAACTTTGACATCACCATTGGGGTCCCAAACGTCCAAGGGGGCCTCCATTTAGTGGGGGCCTCCAAGCAATTAGGGGCCTCCAATTGCGGAAGCGGTAATTTACGAGCCACGCCAGGGCCTCCTCTAAGAAATTTTCATTGGGGGACCAGAGGCTCAGAAGCCAAACATGGGGTACCCCCAAATCCAGTTTTCTCATCGGATTTAGGCCACTTATTTTTCGTCACAGCTCTGATGCCATGATTTTTTTTTTAATATCGATAAAGAAATGGTAGGTCACCTGACCCTACTGGTGGATCCAGGCCAGCAGGGTGACATTGTATGTAAATATCCCCCGCGGCATCCGAAATCGACGAAAATTTCTGGCTTTTTCACTTTTGACAATAAAACACAATGCCTTTATAATAGAAAAAAAAATTAACGGCACAGCATTGCGCAAGGAATCTAGCCGTAAGCCGACCCCAGAAAGTGTGAGGGTTAACCTTCGCCGGCACCTGGGGGGAGGGTCGCCACCCCCAAGTTAGTTTTTCTGCTCTACACTTAACATTTTTAAAGCTAGAAACCTGATTTTCTTTGTATAGCTGCTTTTCTATCTTTTCTCAGCGTCCATTGAAAATTTCAAGCTTCTGCGGCATTTGGGTTTGGAGATATGACCTTGTTCTTCAGGTCATGTCATGTCCTAAATGACGAATACCCAATATCTTGCGATGGCTATGGGCCTTGTGAGCTTTTGACACGCTGATTTCGGCTTTTTTTTGCCAGTCTTACCTCCCACCTATCATTGAACATGTTGTTCTGCGATGTACAGATGTCAGAGTCAGGGTCAAGGTCAACCTAGGTCATCTAAAATTATTGCGCTTTAGGCAAGCTGAATTTACTTTTCGTGAAGTTTCTTTGACTGTATGTTTAGTAAAAGCTTCTCAGTTCATGATCAAGTGTAATAGGGACACACAAACCGATCTGTGCACACATCAGTACATACACAGACATACACATTACACAGACATACAAACACATATCATTGACCTTGACCTAACTTGACGTGAAATGACCACAGCCAGCAAATTAGTCGGATAGTGTGACAAAGAGCTGTTCTAGCTCGCTTGGCACTAATACGGCAGCGTCATCGGTATATGATGGGTTGGCCCGCTGCTTGTGTAGGCATCTTATTCGACATCACCACAATTTTTTCTTACAAGATTTTAAGCCTTGCGGTCAAGAGCAACAGATTCTTTGGGAAGTGACGAATCCAATGATACCAATTTTACCTCATCAGGTCAGTCATTGACCTTCCAGGTCAGGTCAAACTAAAGAATGTTGCTGTTTGGGGTCACCGTTGCCCGTTGGAATATCACGTGCGCTGCTCATCATGTACCGATGACGCTGCCGTATTGTGGTGCCAAGCCAGCTAGAACCTCTTTGTCACACTATCCGACTAGGTTTTTGCTGGCTGTGGTCATTTCAGGTCAAGTTAGCTCAAGGTCAATGACATGTGTTTGTATGTCTGTGTGTGTCTGTGTGTACGAGTATACTGATGTGTGCACCGACTGTGAATGTGTCCATATTACATGAGATCATGAACTGAGAAGCTTTTGCCAAAAATACAGTCAAAGAAACTTCACGAAAGTAAATTCAGCTTGCCTAAAACGCAATATTTTTAGACGACCTAGGTTGACCTTGACCCTGACCCTGGCATCTCTACATCATTGAACAACATGTTCCATGATAGGTGGGAGGTAAGACTGACAAAAAAGGCCGAAATCAAGGTGTCAAAAGCTCACAAGACCCAACGCCAACGCAAGATATTGGGTATTTGTCATTTGGGTTATGACATTACCTGAAGAATAAGGTCATATCTCCGAAACCAAAAACCACAGAAACTTGAAATTTTCAGTGGACGCTAAAAAAGGATAGAGCAGCAGCTATACGAAATATCCGACTTCTAGCAATCAAAATGTTTAGTGCAGAGCAGAAAAAACTACCTAGGTCGGGGTGGGGGGTGTGGCAACCACTGCCCCCCCCCCCCATGTGCGGACGAGGATTACCTAAGTAATTTGAATATCAGGAAAATAATTTATTAAATCAGGTATTCCAACAGAGTCCCGCTTTTTTTATAGATGACCTCCGATTTGTGTTGCATCTAAGTTACCCAGGGGGCCTCTTATTTGTAATTGTAGGTACAGTACAGAGAGCCTCCTACTTCGACTACTTGCACAGAGAGCCTCCTAGCGTACATACGGCTAAGCTTCTACAGGTCGAGCGCCGGTCTCTTGTACGTACAGAGAGCCTCCTACTGTTACAGAGGGCCTCCTGTTTGTCTAGGGGGCCTCCTATTGGTTAACGGCGCCTCCTATTTGTCCAAGCGGCCTCCTATTCGTCTATGGGACCTCCTATTTGTCCAGGAGGCCTCCTGTTTCTCCAGAAGGTCCCCTATTTATCCAGGGGGCTTCTATTTTCCAGGGGGCCTCCTCTTTATCTAGGGGGCCTCCTACGTGTTCAGGGGCCTCCTATTTGTCCAGGGGCCTCCTATTTATCCAGGGGTCTTTTATTCGACTAGGAGTCTCATATTTGTGCAGGGGCCTCCTATTTGTCCAAGGGTCTCCTACTTGTCCCGGGGCCTCCTTTTTTTGAAGGGACTCCTTTTTGTTAAGGGAGCCCCTTCTATTTGTCCAGGGGGCCTCCTATTCGTACAGAGAGCCTCTAGCTCCTACTTGTCCATGGAGCCTCCTATTTGTTCAAGAGGTCCCCTATTTGTCCAGGGGGCCTCCTATTTGTCCAAGGGACCTGTTATTTTTCTAGGGGGCCTCTTTGCCCAAGAGGCCTCCTATTTGTCCAGCGTGCCTCCTACATGTTCAGGGGGCCTCCTATTTGTCCAAGGGGCCTCCTATTGGTTAAAGTAGCCTCTTATTTTCCAAGCGGCCTCCTATTTATCCAGAGGGCTCCTATTTTTAGGGGGGCCTCCTCTTTATCCAGGGGGCCTCCTTGTTCAGGGGGCCTCTTAATTGTCCAGGGGCCTCCTTTTGTGAAAGGGGCCTCCTTTTTGTCCAGGGGGCCTCCTTTTGTGAAAGGGGCCTCCTTTTTGTCTAGGTCTAGGACCTTCTATTTGTCCAGGGGGCCTCCTATTTTTGCAGGGGCCTCCTATTTGTACAGAGGGCCTCCTACTTGTCCATGGGGCCTCCTATTTGTCCAGGGGCCTCCTTTTGTGAAAGGGGCCTCCTGTTTGTCTAGGTCTAGGACCTCCTATTTGTCCAGGGGGCCTCCTATTTTTGCAGGGGGGCCTCCTATTTGTACAGAGGGCCTCCTACTTGTCCATGGGGCTTACTATTTGTCTAGGGGCCTCTTATTTGTCTAGGGCCTCCTATTTGTCCAGGAGGCCTCCTACTTGTCCAGAGAGCCTCCTATTTCTCCAGGGGACTTCCTGTTTTCCGGGGGCCTCCTACTTGTTCAGGGGGCCTCCTACTTGTTCAGGGGGCCTCCTACTTGTTCAGGGGGCCTCCTACTTGTTCAGGGGGCCTCCTATTTGTCCAACAGGGCCTCCGATTTGTCCAAGGGGCCTCCTATTTAAACAGAGAACCTTTTATATGAATATCGGACCTCCGTTTGCAAAGTAGCTGATGCGTCTCGGGGGCCTCCACTATTGGGGTCCCAAAATGACAATTGGGGTCCCAAATGTTCGCATTGGGGTCCCACATGGGACCTCGAAAGTATACAAAGTTACACCCATGTGCGCGTTCGTTAGACCAAAGCATTTACCTAGCATGGTGACTGCAGAAAAGTGATGACGCTTCTTGTCCACCTTGAAGTCGACAGCGGTAGTGCCCTGGACGTTCGGATGCCACAGACCCTTGGCTCGAGTCAGGGTCCGCAACGCTCGCCCCTGTGGAAAGACATTTGATGTAGCCTGCGTGCTTCACACGGAATGGAATAGAGAGGACGACCTACTGGGCGGCAAACCCAATGATGAAGATGTGAAAGAGGCAATGGAAGCACGTGACAGGGCTCGGGAGGATAAGGAACGGACACCGTGCGAGGAGACTGAGCAGGAATTTCGTCGCTGTCGCAACGCAGTCAAGACGGCTCAACACCACGCGTGCTCGGAGTATTTCCTGTCATCATTCCGCCGCTCAAAGTCTACCACCTGGCGCGACATCCGTCGGTTTCTTATTTCATCCAAGAAACCAGAACCGAGACCTGATGGGTCATCAGGCCGTCCAGCGGCTTGGTTCGACCGCCTCAACAGCTACTTCTCCACCATCGGCCCCAGCGTGGCGGACGGCCTGGCGGCGCTGGACACCGGAGAGACGCTGCACCCCCGCCCGCCGCGAGTCTCCAGCGGAGCCTTCAGACCGCGCCCGGCCACTCTGCCCGAGCTGTCCGCTGCTCTCCAGCGTATGGGGACGTCCAAGGCGTGCGGGACGGACGGCATTACGATCTCTATGATCCGACTGACTTTTAGCGTGGTAGGGCCGCATATTCTGCATGTGATTAACAGCGCTATCTCTCGCTGTGAACTGCCGCCCGCCTGGCAAACCGCTACTGTTGTACCATTACATAAAGGCGGTGATGCGTGTGACCCTAGCAATTACAGACCTATTTCGATTCTACCTGTTGTGTCCAAGCTTTGCGAACGTGTTGTCTGCACACAACTCATGGACTACCTATTAAGTCATCACTTGCTGTGTCCACAGCAGTACGGTTTCCGGCCCGGCCTATCCACCGAGGCGGCCCTGCTCGACACTGTCACGTACCTCACAGACAACGTAGACGCCGGGCGTGTGACGTCACTAGTCACAGCCGACACTTCTAAAGCCTTCGACAGTGTCGAGCACGGCCGCCTCCTGGAGAAGCTGGGCTGGTACGGCATTGAGGAGCGCTGGTTTCGTGCGTGGCTCAGTGGCAGGACCCAGTCTGTTCGGGGTGGCCCCAGTGTTGAGAGCGTGTCACACGGAGTGGTCCAGGGTTCGATCCTGGGCCCGGTCCTATTTTTGGTATTTACCAACGACTTGCCACAACATGTACCTGCTGAGAAAATCGTTATGTATGCGGACGACGCCCAGTTCCTCCACTCTGACTTACCGAACAACCTCTCTGACATGAAAATACGTTTGGAAACCAGCATGTCTGCTGCTCTAAAATGGTTTACGCAGAACAGATTAAAAATCAACCCCTCTAAAACTGAGATGATCATGGTAAAATCGCAACGATTGAAAACCGAAACTGGCTTCCATATCCATTTTGGAAACTCTCAAATTTTCCCGGTACAGTCGGCGAGGGTGCTGGGCGTCGCCGTGGACGACGCCATGACATGGGACAAACACATATCATACATTTTGCGCCGGTGCTATAGTGTACTGATCGGTCTGTCAAGGATTCGACACCGCGTGCCGCGCGAGACCCGTAAGCTCCTGATTGAAGCGCTAGTCTTCCCGCTAATAACGTACTGCATGTCTGTATGGGGCGGTTGCACAGTCACACAGCTCAGGAGACTGCAGAAATGCATAAACTTCTGTGTCAGAATCGTAACGAACCTCAGGCGTTGCGACCGTGTGACAGCGTCCCGCAAGGAACTGGGATGGCCTGCTGTACAGGAGCTACTGCGTGAGCATGATCTGCATGTTATATTTAAACTGATGCATGACTCGCATGCCCCTGATTCGATCCGCAGCCGCATCGTCCACCGTACTGCGGTGTCGAGCCGCAACACTAGGGCAACCAGTGACGGTCAGCTTCATGTCCCGCGCGTGCGAACTGAGCTTGCCCGGCGCTCATTCATCTGTCGCGCAACTCGTTCATGGAATGAGTTGCCTGCGCCTGTTCGAGGCTGCACCGGTCTGGCGGCGTTCCGTAAAATGGTTAAGAAACGGCATGTTTAATCCGGCTGCGCTAGGTCAATGTGGTCAGTTAGTTTATCATGTGTGGTGTGTTTTAACCTCTATAGAATCTGTCCTGTATGTACAGGTATGAGTTTTGAACTACTGAATGTATGACGTGGTTTACTGAAAACCCAATTTCTTGGATGTAACCGAAATATATGAGTATGAGTATGAGTATGAGTATGAGTATGAGTATAAACCGTCGTTTGTCCGTTCGTCCATTTGTCCGTTCATGTTCGTTTTACTGTTCATTCATTCACTTATTCACTCGCACGTTCGCTCGCTCATCCATGAATTTATTTATTCGTCGGCAAATCAGTTCAGAATGCTCCGACCATTAACCTACCCACCCACGCTCCTTGCGGCACCTTCAACTCACCTTGACCTTCATCTCCTGTTCGAGTTTCCTGGTGTAGCCGTACTCGGCCACCTGTTTGAGCCCGTCCGAGGCTGGCTCCCCCTCCTGCCACATGCTGACATCAGGCACGTGACTCGCCACCAGAACGTCGCTGAAGTGAGTTAGCCACTCGTTGCGCGGAAAGTCCTTCGGGTGGGACTCGCGCGACCACAGGCCGTCGAAGCGAAGCTGAAATGAAAAAAAAAAGATGCATTCAGTCACTTGTTAACAATTGCCATTGGTACATTGGTTTTGTGGAAGCATGAAGGGCAAGTATTGAGAAGCCGTCATGTTATTCCCTAACCTCGTATTTGGCCTCGTCACAGGCGCAGCAGGTGCCTTCGGCCTGTTGTTGCTGCTGCTGGTGGCTCTGTTCCTGTTGCTGGTGCTGCCGCGGCGGTCGGTGACTGGAGCCCTCCTCGCACAATTCCTTCGTCAGTCCCTCGTCATCCATATACCACACGTAGCGGGAGCGGACCACGACGGCCCTGCAATGGGAGCACGATTCAGTCACAAACAAGGGTTCTGGGAAGGCCGATGCTGGTCTGATCTACGGCAAACGATGGATGAGGCTCAGAAACACTACTATGTACGTAGAAACTATTTACTTTTTTAAGAACAGTGGAATAAAGCTACAACTGCATTTTCTTCGAACCAAGAATCAGTACCTCGCGGCACCGAGGCCCATGCCTTGGCATGCCTGTGCCGTTTGCTTACTTGAAGGTGACGCAGCCGGCACCGGCCCGCGGTGCCATCCAGAGCACCTCGGCCTCGGTCTTGGGAACGGTGGACGTCTGGGTGACCATGTTGGGACAGTTGGGGTCGAACTTGGCCAGCCCGAAGCCGAACACCTGGAAAGAGCCGGCGTCTCGCACCGAGGAGCCGCCTGTCCGCGAGTTCTCCGCCACCAGACTGAAGGCGGTGAACTTCTCCGCGAGGTACTGCGTCCTCCAGCCCATCAGCTTCACTGCCGGCGTCATCAGCGGACTGGTCAGACAGTCATCAACTTCACTGCCATACATGTCTAGGCATTTGTCAGATCATCGGCAGCTCCACCTTCAACATTATCAGTACCCGAACTGAAATGACCCAGTGCCGGCATTTCCAGATCCTGCACTAGAACAACCGCTATCTTTAATTAAGTAGTTATCAGGGGCCTGGAAAGAGAGAAAACTGAAACGATTGGCACACTGGCAGAGAGAGCGAGACATCCTCGTGACCACTCGGATTTGCAAGAATAGATATTGCAATATTTTACTAGACGAAGCGTAGTCATTCGTTCGTAATCATGCTGGATGGCACACTTCAGACATCCATAGATTAGGATAGTAATGGCCTAAACGTAGCATTGGGTTACTGGGTCAGCTGCAGCGGATGCTGACTGTTGTCACAGTCGTACGCTGCAGGGATGACCTGCTTAAATTTGAGGTTGTCAGCCAGTGTTAAATCATGCTATCGTTTCAGCTACCTACTCTTTTTTAACGTTGCGATAATTCCACTGGAATGGTGTCAATTACGTAAGATCTCTCTCCTTGCAATCGTTTCTCTACTTTGGCAATACCTTGTCCCTTGAATTTGCTGATCTGTATAATGTTATGAGCATGGTGCTTACTGCTTACCCTCTGATATTCTAGGGTTCCTACGCTTGAGTGACCCCTCGCGTCCTCCCAGCATCAACAACGAAATATTTTGAGCCATACGAGACTAAACAGAATTCCAGGATCTACGTGATGCAAACAATACGGCAACGACTCCCCTGATATTGCGCAACTCCCCTGAACAAATATAGTTTACTCATGCTATTCGACGATATACCAACCATCGGGCATCGTTACTAGAATCGGTCATTCTACAGTCATTGGAGGCTCACTATCTTTGTACTCCGGTGAGTAAGCATCCAAAACGCCCACTAATCCTATAGACACCCACAGGTCCTATCATAAACGTCTCGGAACCCATCACTCATTCGACACCCATCTAGTCACTGAACAGTCGAAACGCCCGACTCCAAGACATTCGACATCCTCCAGTCTCTGGGCACTCCTTGTTCTCCAGCATCCCAGGCGCTCGCCTGTTCCATGGCACTCGCCAGTCCCAGACACTCAGCCTCTGATGCCCAGCAGTCTCTTAACCCGCGCACCGACGGGGGGGGGGGTGACCACCCCTCCCCCGAGGTTTTTCGCAAATAGCGCAAAAACTGCGGCGTGTAGCGCCGCGAAATTTAGCATGACTTTTTCCTCATGAATATTACACATGGTGTTCAAGTTTGAACCTCCTACCTTTCAAGGTCAGGTCACCAGGTCACTTCGACTGACCACGTTCTGGCGGTACTCACCAGTGTAGATTGTTCCCGGTGTGTACGTGTCGACCCCGCCGCTGAACTTAATCCGGAAGCCGCCCCCTCCGGCCGTTTTAGCCGTGTTCCGGTCGGGGGGCTCTCGGTTACAGCGCTGCGCCGCTGCCGGCGCTGACACCAGCACCAGCACCAACAACAGCACCAGCACCAGCGGAACGGAGACGCCGGATGGTGCCATGGTGTGGCAGACCGACACAGAGGACAGTCGACACAGGGAAGGGCGACACAGAGCACTGGCGGCCAGTACCAGTCGCAGACGGGCAGCAGACCACAGCCGGCCCCAGATAATCCAAACAAGCCTCCAGCCGCGCCGCGCCGCGGCCACCGCTGCAAACAAACCGGGGCGACAGCCTGCACCCAGCGGCCCCGGAACAGTCGCAGGGCAGGGCGGCCACAGCATAGCAGCGGCACAGCGCGTCACAGCCTCAGCATAGCCTCAGCACAGCCACAACACAGTCTCAGCACAGCCTCAGCACAGCCACAACACAGTTAACCCGCGCCCCGTAGGGGGGGGGGCCGAAACGCCCCCCCTGTCCTTTTCGGTCGATATCTCCTAAACGGCTGGAGATATCGCCACCAAACTTTCAGGACCCCTCCGGGCATCAATTTTACACATTTTGACCAAAAATTTTTCCAGAGGCTGTGATAGGTTGGCCACAAATGACGTCAGAGTGACGTCATGTTCTGTCATTTTCGACCGAAAAAAGACCTTCGCGAGAAGACCTGTCAGGCCTACAGCTTTGAAGATACAGAAAAATGATCAAGACATAAAAGGTGTAGAATTAACAGTGCTACAAAACTGCTATCTCGGATTTTTGAAATTTTTGAGTTTTGATCCCCAAAAATCAAAAAAGCATTTTTTTTATATATTAGCCAAAAAATCCAAAAAGTTTTTTGAGTTTCGAAAAAACCGGAATATATGTGATAGTACCTACCGTCTTCTATCTACCTACCAAATTTCAGATCGATACCTCGTTTTTGGCCAAGTTATAGCGAAAAAACTGTTCAAAAATGATGACGTCAAATTTTCAAACTCAATTTTTGGCATTTCTAGAACTCGTAGAGCAAAACAAAGACCACCACTAGACTCCCCGTGACGAGTTGCATCGAATGGATACCCATTTAATGCAAAAATATCAACTTTGAAATTTGACCTAATTTGACCTGACCTTGACCTGACCTTCACCAAAACGTGACCTAGGCTGGCCCCAAAGGCTGCCTAACCCACATAATCGCATTTGTCATGTAAAATGGACCATAAAACATGCATCACACGACACATTCATATTGTGACCCCCGGTGACCTGACCTCGCTGTGACCTGACCTGGTATCAGTGACCTCAGATAGCAAAGTATGTGTTTGACGAACAATATACCATCGATGGTTTTCAATAAATTACCAATTTACTCGATTTCACAGCACATTTCTTGAATTGCCTGTGAACGGTGAAAACCTGACCTTTGACCTGACCTGTGACGTCATCGGTTTGACCTAGGTCAATGAAATTTGGTCACAAGGTAGTTCCCGGGTTGGGCTATCAAACGCCGTTTGAATTTTGAAAATCGGCCGGTAACTTTCCGAGATCTTAGGGGGGGGCCGAAACGCCCCCCCCCCCCCCTACGGGTGGTAGGGTCCGCCGGTAGCCCTACGGGGCGCGGGTTAAAGCACATCCAGCACAGTCACAGCACATCAGCAGCACAGCCACAGCACACCAACAGCACGGTCGCAGCACAGCTGCATGACAGCCATGGCACAGTCACGTCATAGCTGCAGCAGTTGCAGCACAGTCACAGCACAGTCTCAGTTGGCTTTCAGCAGGCACACCTCACTCAAGGCATTCACAACACACTGACAGTCCCCCAGCACACCAGCACACCTAATTATGACCGATGACGCACCCATGGCGCACCCCCCAGCACATCCCTGACGCAAACATGGTAAAATTTGCCTCAGAGCTTACGTCTAATGGTTAGTGACCCACGGGCATATCGTGTTGTGCTCTGGTCTGGCCATGATAAACAATGCCGAGACGCAATTAGCTGCTCTAAATAGACGAATGCCGATGTCGATAAATGCACGACACGGGGTTTTGAGAAACGCTTGGGACAGGATATACTGAGTCTTTCAATCGCGGTTGCATGGTTAGGGAGGTTAAGTGTTGTTGAATGAAATATTGTTTGAAAAATGAAATTGCATATGTTGATGAAATGGCTATGCTTTCTCAAACTAAACATGAGTCGCCAGGATCCGGCATGATAAGAAGGAAATTGAATAAGGAGCTGATATCAGCTTCAGCTCTCATCATCACGCTAGCATGCTACAGTTAATATTCGGAATCAGGGTCATGCATTTCCATATGCCAGAATATACTGTTTCCGCACGTGCGCACGTTCAGGGGTCCGGTTTCCAAGCCTCGAAGACGGCTGGACCGAATGCGCTCATTTTGCACATCACCCCGTCGAAGTTCATTTTGTGCTTGTTCAATACACAACTTATATAAGCATAAAATATATTGTTGTATATTGTGTACGTATTTTCTCACATGGTACACATCCTAAAAAAACACACCATGTTAAGTTTTTTCGGCAATCTGTTTTTACACATTTTAGTGCCTTTAAACATTTCATTCAAGCTGGTTCTATTCAGTCCTTCTTCGTACATGCTTGGGATAGTTTCTATACTGTTATAACATGAGGATTACAGTTACTACATCGCAGCATGCTATGATGTTTGCCTACTTCTCAGTACTCACTGCTACTTCCGGTGCAAGTATAACAACTCGCATAAAACACAATTCATCAGCGACGATAAGAAAATCTTAGAGTACAACGCTAGGCTAGAACTCGCTGAGTCCTTCCCCGAGCTCTCAGGTCAAAGGTCGTCGTCGTCATCAACGTTTAGTGTCGCGTTGTCAACGCCGGTCTCTGGTGATGCGGCCAGCTTCTCCCGGGCGGCGATATTCCGCGAGTGTTCGTACCAGGCCTCAGTGGGGCGGCCAGAGTTCCTCAGACGCTGCGGGGGAAAACTGGGGTATCAGCTGGAGTCGACTAACACATGGAAGCATAGAACAATTTAGTGACTCGGTCTTCTTAGTTCCCTGGCGGCTTTGTCAAGTCCTACAGTTCCCTAAATTAGCATCCACCACGATCCAGCAGCCACAGCTCACCTCTCTGAAGTCGCCAGTCTGCTCGCAGGCGACGTTGTAGATAAAGCCGCCAGGAATCACGGCGATGATGAACATGGCGATGGCCCAGCCGATGCCGTTGGCGAAGGGAGGGTAGACGTAGCCGTCCACCTCGTACGGTTCGTAGTTGATCCAGCCGAGCAGCAGAATCAGCTGCCAGTCAATGAAACCAACAAAGATGTCTTTAGTTGGTTACAACTGTCATCGATTTGACATGAGAGTTGGAAATCATAGCGCTTGGCATCATTACGCGTATATATTCAAATTTCGGAGCAAGAGCTATGGCCTTATTCCGACTCCGCAAAGAATACGATGAAACGTTGCGACAAAGACACATCAACGTAACATGCTTCAGAGGCAACGCCGGCTTAGCAACTTTTTATTTCTGTCACACTGCTCCACCCAGATCCTTCAGCACATCTGCACCTGCTCCAGTAAAAGCTGGTAACATTATTTCCCACTCCTCCTGAGGAGCATCATTGCCTTAACATAACCAATGACTGACGAGGTATTTTTTTTTTTTTTGTAAATTTAGTCCGAACCTTTTGATGGGAAGGATTCACAAGGACAGAGTCACCGCTAAGCGAAGCTTGTTGCGATGACCCTGCCCTCTACCCTCCGATCGCGCAATTCCGGTTCTATGGCAGAATTTAGAGTCCAAAGTTTAACGTGCGCACAAAGCCGCGCACGGCCGGTCCCCTCACTGACTTCGCCTGGCTACGGCCTGCCACCAACCGCAACCATACCTGTCAGGAGGCCCATAAATGTCGAGCGCCCGTCGCGCTTCGAACCCGGACTGTCATAACCGGGAACGCGTGCTCTCACCACGCGGAGTCCAACGCTCTAACCAACTGAGCTACGGGACCGGCTCATATGCTTACTCGATCTCAATCACTCGATCCTGCGTATCGAGTGATCCCTGACCTTCACTCACCGCCATCAGGATTGGAGACACGGTGCCGTAGATGGCAGTGATGTGCGCCTTCAGTCGGAAGCCGGGGCTGAAGCCCATGATGTTGGTGAGGTCGCGGTAGTAGTTGGTGATGCCGTACAGCCAGTACATGCCTAGCAGCTCGGTCAGACTGATGAAGAGGTATGGCCAGCCCGCAGCGTAGTTGTCCATCAGGTCCACGACATAGCGGCCGCCCTGGAAATGGTTCCACTAATAGTGAGCTAGGCGCATACCTTCTGCAACTAAGTAATCTGCAATCATTTGCTTTGGGAGGATGCGTTGAAGAGGACACTGAATTGTAGTTATATACAAGAATGTTAAGCTGATCATAAGTGGCATGCTTCTAGGCGCTGTCATCCATTGATCATTGACTTTTCATTACCATTGAACAATACTTACCTGAGTAGTGAGAGGGATGCCGAGAAGGAACAGCGTTCCACAGATGGCTACTACCACCCAGGACTTCCACCGACGCAGCTTCGGGAACTCGTCCAGGACACAGGTGATGATTGTCTCAATTATTGCAAACTGGGTATCAAGTCCAAGCGTGAAGAGCATCAGGAAGAAGAGAAGCGCCCAGAGAGTGGATATCGGCAGGCGGGTCACCAGCTCCGGGTAGGCCACGAACGCTAGACCTGCGAAAAAAAAAAATAGAACCAAAAAGGTTGAAGAAGAAAAAGGAAAAGGCAAGAAGAGCAAACACAAATATTTGAGCGAAAAGAACCGGAACGTGACACTGCATGGCACCGAGTGACTAAGTCCATACTAGTAAAGCTTATCAACATTAATTGAAATAGCTGTTGAGGCGTACAATACAACTTGGGAGAAGAGCTCATCTTACCCGATCCACTTTTGACGACTTCAGATACAGGAACTCCCAGCTCCTTAGCCATGAAGCCAAGAACCGAGAAGATGGCGAAACCAGCGAAAACGGATGCACAGCAGTTGCCAATGCAAACCATCAGCGCGTCTCTGAAAAACCGCCGGACATTGACAACGGAAAGCAGGTCTCAAGGTCAAAAAGATAAGCCACCACGATTCAGCGTATTGCAGCGCATCATAAGGAGCATTCTACTTGCTTTTCACTCGTCGCGATGTAACAAGGCTGAGCCAATATCTGCGCCAAGGAAAAGTACCTGACGACGTTGTTGTGGTACTTGTTGTAGCTGGCAAGGGTGATCAGCCCTCCGCTGGCGATTCCCAGGGAGTAGAAGATTTGGACAGCAGCCTGGACCCAGACATCGATGCTTCTAAGCCGTTTCAGGTCTGGGACGATGTAGAACTTGATGCCCTCGGAGGCGCCAGGTAGCGTGACGCCACGGATCAGCAGGATGACGAGGATGACGACCGGGAACAGCGCCGTAAAGTACACCACCTGCCGCCAGTGAAATGAACAAGTGAAAAACTGGAACTGCAATGTCTTCTTAGAGAAGACAAAACTCGTGATTGCTTAACCAGGCGACTCAGCTTAAAGCAGCCCAGGTGACGTGCCTAATGGTGTGGACTAACATCCTTAGTCTTAGTTTTTTAATTCTTATCATGCCTTTTAGTTCATGCATGTTCCAGGGAACGGGAAAAGCCAAGGCTCATAATACTTCACAATCTGATATATTTTCCCTTTCACCCTGGGAGATGCCTTAAAGTTAGCGCGAGATGGGGAACACCTGCAAACACAACCACCTCTTTTGTTGGTGTTCTGTAAAGCGAAAAGCTTCACCTTTCCGGATGACTTGATGCCTTTGATGAGAGCTCCGCCAACGACCAGCCAGGCGACCAGGAGTGAGAGCACGAGTCGGGGCTGCACCGATCCCAGCTCGTCGATCCCGGAGCTCAGACTGAGCACGTGGTTGTTGTAGTACTCCTCCGCAGCTGGAAACGGTGAGAGGAATGCACCAGCCAACACGGAAAAAAATATTTACTCCGCGAGAGATTTACATACACCTTTTTTTGAAAACTCCTTTTGATGGTGTTCATATACCATTCATTTTGGAGTATTTCATGGCGAGGAAGAGTAATAAAAGTACCTCACTTTATCTGTCGGAGTAAAGGAAAGAGATTGGGATTTCATTTACTCCCCATGCATAACCGCTCGGAGTATACAAACCCGGTCGGAGTTTTGTTACTCTGCTGTGACAGTTCGAATAAGCATGGAAGTACGCAATGCAGAGTAATTCACCGCAAAGGGAGTTAACGAAGAACCGAGAGAACAGTCAAAAGAAAAGAAGAGTAACTGAACTCCGAAAAAAGACCTGAAACTCCTCTTGAAAGAGTTTTGCCGCCATCGCGGCGCTGATGCACGTGCGTTATTCGACGCCATTTTCAAGGCAGCAGTCGGTTGGCAGTTGCGCCATACAGTGAACATGCCGGTGTCAGTGGACTGTCAGTGGGTTGTGAGAGTTTTCGGCGGAGAGTGGTGCAGGAAAAGGTGGGAGTGGTGACGACACGCTCGGAGACGACGCTCTCGCAGCAGCAACTATCATCTCACTGCATATAACTGACAGGATCTTCGAGCTCACAATTCAGGCAAGTCCCTTCTCGCTGCGACTTTGGAGATGCGTTCAACAGTTATATTTGCTTCGTGACATATTAATGTTTTTTTTTCTTTGCCCAAAATATTGACGTCCAGTACTTATGCCGGCTCTTCCCGGAATCATTCTTTTTTGGTAGCTATACACTTTTGGCAAAATTAGAGAATGCAATGAACGTCATCACCGCCTGTTCCCCTTTGTCGTAGACTTGTCATGGCAGAACATACAAGGGTTGAAAACGAAAATTAATAAAAGATTTACAGTTTTTGGAAACCCGGGGTAATGGTTTACATGTTCCGGTTTTTTGCTCTATTTTGCTCCTTTCTTTGAAAAATGATCTGAGTACCTGAATGTCATTGGTTATCTGTGCTGCATGATCCATGCCCCATATTCAGTGTAGCCTTTTCATAAGGTAATTTATACTTTAACCCTCGCCGGCACAGGCCATTTTGCGTCCTTCGACGGCACAAGGGGGGGGGGGGGTACAACCTCCCTGGCGTTTGGCCCCTGATGGAGCTAGAGCTTCGCGGAAAAAACGAGCGTGTTGCCCTTGACAAGAGGAAGCCGATGATACCCAATTTTGAGGTCCTAGGTCATCGGTTGACCTTCTAGGTCAGGTCAATGACCCAAAGGTCGGGAAAATCGGGACCTGCAAGAACATCGTAAAGGGTGGCTGCTGTTTTTTTCGGGGCGCTGATCACGAATATCATGTTGGTTTTGATCACAGATGATGTCTTTATGCATGTAGGCCAGGTCAGGTCAGGTCAACCAGTAAGGGTGCTGCCGGGTATTTGTAGTACATAGGTGTCAACCGCCTCTGACAGCCTCGTAACATGTTACGAAGGCACGAAAACTACTTTGTAAATGTTCAAATGGTTTTTAACCGAGGTCACCAAAGGTCAATGACCTGACCTGACCTTCAGGTGACCTTGACACCCATCCTAATCCATGAGACCAACATCATATCACATGTTTGAACGCTTGAAACCACGAAAAGACTGCAAACGCGCTGGTAATGCGAGCCGACGTACGCCGAATCGCGATTCTGGCCAAACATGGTCTTGGAAAATAGGCCACAGGTCAAAGGTCATTTGGGTCAGTGTCATGAAATTATCAGGGTAGGTGTAAAATTGATTAACACGAGGGTACTGAAAGTGTCGTCGCGATCAGCCGCTTTTTGCGCGAGTTATTTGCGAAAAACCTGCCCCCCCCCCTTGTGCCGGCGAGGGTTAAACAATGAAACTGGTTTTAATGAAAGGCATATGAAAAAATACGTGTATGTATATATATTGCTTTATTAGAATAGGCCTATCTCAATTATTTTCCGAAAATTACCCGCCACATCAAAAGACAAATGCACTCAAGCGTGAATTCCGGAATTGAAATGTTTATGGAAATGTTAGTTATATAAAATGTTATACGGAAATGTTAAAAAGCTCAAGTTATCAATTGCAAAGGTTGAGCGCAGAGCAGAGCAAACATCACTCCTCGCCCAATGCAGTGACCTAATAGTTGCATCAAATTTCATCAGATGTTGGGAATGTCCCTAGCTCCTAGACAAAGTTTCTCAGAAACCCATTGACCCCACCTATGCAGACTTAAAATATTGTCTTTTTTAGTCACAACGGAACATTTTCCATTGCAGATAATGCTGGCAAGCATGGTTGGCAAACACGCTCGGAAGCCCGTTGCACGACGAGGAATACGTTGGATAAACGAATAGTGTCCAACGCGTGGTTGTCTATTCATCCAGCACAACCCTCACGGAGACAGTGTGTGCAATGCACACTGTGCATGGATGCTGAGCCTCAGTGTGTATATTGTATAACCTTAACCGTCCCCGGACCTACCGGTTTTCTGCATGCACCCACGTCGAGGGGCGAATCCCCTTCCCATATTTCTTTCCAACTTGAGCTAGAGGCTCGCGGAAAAAACGAGCATGTGTGCCGTCGCGAGATGCAGCGACTAATACCGATTTAAATCCGCTCTGACCGGGGAGAGCGTTTGGACACCCCCCCCCCCCGTGGTTTTCGCAGATAGCTCACAAATGGCTGCGTGGAGCCACCGTCTTCTTTGGCACACCTGCTCATGCATCTTTTCCCACAAATGTTGTTAAAATTTCAGACCCAGGTCGCCAAAGGTCAGGTCACCAGGCCACTTCAAGTGACCTCACCGCAGAAAGAATGCTCGTAGTAGCTACACCGACTGAATGATTATATTGCAATTTTCGGCGATTGATAAAAGTAAAAGAATCTATAAAATATACCTATATCTCAGAACTTTCATATCGATGACCTAATGCCAGGGCAATTTTGCGCAATCTCCATTATAAGTGAATGGGAGAAAACGTCGTTCTAAACACTCTCTAAGTCTATAACATCGATTGAGAGACATGCTAGAGCGGTAAAAAACCTCAGATGTGTTCAGCTTGACGAAAAGAATCGACCGATATGCAGCATGACCTTTTCCGGTCAAGTCATGACCTTGACCTTAACACGCGCAGTGGAAGGGTTGCGAGTACTACGCCCAGTGGAAGGGGGGGCGGATGTCGCCCCCCCCTAAGATCTCAGCTCCCACTAGAGCTAGAAAGACGACATTTGGAGGGTAGGTGCGGGCCATGGGGAACTCTGTTGTGTGTGAATTTCATGACCCTAGGTCAATATCTTCAAGGTCAAATGAGGTCAAATGTGATCAAATCTGCCATATTAGCGACTTTTTTGCGTTTACACGCCGATAACTCAAAAAGTTACCGGCCGATTTTTTTTAAACTTTCACTATACGAAAGAGCAAACATTTGTGAGTATGTATGGTCAATTTCTAGATAATCCAACAATAAATATGGCAGTTAGAAGCCTGCGAAGGGTAAGATGTCGCCGGCTGAGGCGGCATCGGCCGACGCGGGAAACGCGGCAATCACAATTTTGTGTTTACACACTCATAACTCAAGTTGTTACCGGCCGATTTTCAAAATTATTTGACCATATGATTGCCTGTACATTTCTCAGTCTTCTCACCGAATTTGACGCGAATCTAATATAATCAGCGGTAAGGAGTCAGCGCGATGTAAAGACGGAACCGTCCCGCCCCGGCACAGTCTACAATTCAGGCGGCGCGTAACGGCTAGCGCCGGCCGCCGCGCCGCCGCGCCGCCGCGGCGGCAGGATGTTTGACTTTACACCGCTATTACTAGAAAAGTTGTGAACCGATTTTCTTTCTTCTTGTACGAGAAGATCCGCAATTAAATTCTGGACAGGTAGCCGAAATTTCACATTGATATTATGCTTGCGGCGCGAGTTATTGGCGAAAAACAGGAGGGGTGGGCGAAATCCGCCCCCCCTTCCACTGCGCGTGTTAAGTAAAATTTTCAATGCCGATGATGTTTTTTATGATGCTGCCAACAGCAATGTCGCGACTCTATTGAGTCAAAGGTGATTACAGAAATACACTATTATTTTCGTAAAACGGTTATTTGTGGAGTTCTTTTTTCTCTCTAGAGGCTAAACTGTTGACCTGAGGTCACATCTGAGGACACATTACGAAAGAGCGTTAAAAATGGCTATCGAACGCGCCTTTTCGCGGTGCAGTGGCTCTTTTTGGTTCCCAAGCTATGCGTCGGTTTTCAAAAACTTTAAACTATTGAAAGAGGCAAAATTTGACCTTTGATGACCTCTGGTGACCTGATCTTTGACATGATCTAAAAATGACAGGATTATTTTCTTCATTATTTTTGACTATCGAAGTGCCGTTTACCGCGTGTCGCTAGATGACCCGAGAGCCGAGTTAGACTGGGGCGCGAAAACGCCGTCCCTCCCCCCCCCCTCCCAGCACTCCACGGAAAACTCGCACCACCAGGCACCAGCACGGCGCTGGATATGTGTGTTTAGAATCACACCCCTATGACCGTGTTACAGTGTTATGGAGAGTCTCACATCTCAATTGTTTCTGCATAAAAATGTGTTCATTTTTTAACCCTCACCCTGGCAGGTCATTTTTCATAACAAGGGCTGGGTCAAATGAGGTCAACTGAGGTCAAATGACGTTTGTGCCGATAACTTGTCACATAATAAAAATAAAGCTTTCAAAATGGTACCATTCTGTTCCTCTTGAACAGCCGAGTCGAATGATATGCAACATTAATGCCTCCTATGGCACCTAGAAACACCAAATTTGGTAGGTATGTGGGCCCCCTGGAGTTCTCACCCCTGTGCAACGCTAAAACAGGTCAAAAGTTTTTCGCTTCTAACTTTTTATCTAATTAAGATAGAACAAAAACAAAAGCAACAGTGAACTCAGCACGTCAAGGCGCGTCGAACGATGTACTTTTTTTTTGCTTGCTTAGGTGTACTTGAAATACTAAGCACAACCTAAGTACAACTTAAGTCTTAAGAATGGTCAAAATGCTTAATGTTGCATATCATTCGACTCGGCTGTTCAAGAGAAACAGAATGGTACCATTTTGAAAGCTTTATCTTTATTATGTGACAAGTTATCGGCACAAACGTCATTTGACCTCAGTTGACCTCATTTGACCTGACCCTTGGATAAGTACACCAAACAAAGAAGCACCAAGTGGCATAATGCTAAGTACTGTGGTTTCAAAGCACAAAAGTGATAGAACGAAGCGGATATCTTCAATATTTTCCGAATTGAATATTTTCCCATAGGCTTAACATTACGACGTAATGACCTCTAACTGACCTCAGGTCAGCGACATAAAAACCCGAACAATATGTTATACAACTCGGTGAACTTAGTACATCCTGAAAGTTTGAAGGAAATCAGTCCAAAATTGTGAGTTGGACAGGTGCATAAACAAATTGAAATTTGACCATGACCTTGTACCGGTTGTTCTGACCTGGTGACCTGACCCAAGGTCACCCGGATCTGAAATTTTCAGGTCTCATGTAAAAAGGTTGCCCCATAGGCAGTGCCAAATTTGGCGGTGCTGTGCGCCGCCGTTTTTACGCTATCTTTGAAAACCCTTAGGGGGTGGGGTCGCATCGACCCCGCCCCCTGCCAGGGCGAGGGTTAACATCTATGATAGCTGCTTCGTTCACCATTGCTGTACTTGCTGGACGCTACTATACTGGATGATACTGGATGCTGCTGCAGATTTTCTGTAAACCCAGTGGCAAATCCTTGTGGCTCCTGGCCATCTTGTGCTAAATCTGCTGTTACATGCATGATTTGGTTGACGAGAATACAGAAGAAATATTGTTTATAATCCAGTGTTTTTGTTGGATATGCTCGAGATTTTTTTTTCGTCTGCTGGTTATTTATTACACTATAGCTAAACTGTGTCTCCGAAATGCGCGAAAGAAATAGGAAGAGACTGGTTCTTATTTCAGCCTCACAACACACGTCACGTCATAGCATCATAGTAACTTTTTTGCAATGATAACGGTATAAATGATCCATATTTGTTAAAATTCCAGCTGGAAATGCTCTGATTATGTCAGTTGGGGCTTGTGCAATGTGCGTCCTGCCCAAAATTAGGAGTGACTCAACCCGTATATTTGGGGTGACATCACACCCTTTTTGGAAAACTCCAGAATGTTAACTTTATCTACTCTAATATAAGTACTGTATTTGGGATGAGTACCTTTTTGGGAGTTTTGGAACCACTTAGCATGTCTCGTTTTCGGTGTGACATTACTCCACAGACAAATTTAAAGGAGTTTCACTTGCAGAACAGGAGTAGTGAAACTCCCTTTTGCGATCATAACTCCGGAATAAGGAGTAGTTAATAAGGAGTTTTATTACTCCTCTTAGGTTCCACTACTCCCTATTATTTTTCACTCCCTAAAAGGGAGTTTCAATTGCGTTTTACAAGGGAGTTTCAAAACACCAAGGGAGTAATGAATCGCCTTTTGATAGTTTTAGGGAGTTATGGATAGAACTCCAAAATAGGGCGAATATCTACTCTAATATAGGTACTGTATTTGGGACGTCAGAACCCCACCTAGGGGAGTAAATATTTTTTTCCGTGAAGTTACGCTGCTTCGATAGACTGTTGTTGGTTGTTGAAAATACGAGCTAAACATTGCAATATCATAAAATAGCAGCGAAATTTTGTTATTCTCCTGCCATTGCCCATGGCTATCGGCTGCGGGCCTGCGGTGCTTTCATGCTGACTAAACTGTCCTCGGCATATAAGACGTAAGGCAGCTCACAACTCACGAGAGACGCGGTCCTTTTCCGGCACGGTGCTGTTGACGCCCAGGATGTCGGCCTCTGTGCGGTTGGTGATACAGTGACCGTAGTTGTAGATCCACCACGTTGACTCGTTGTATATCGCCTTGCAGCGCTGGTAATCGTCAAAGTTGAAACAGTCTGTGGGCAGGCACAGATGGTACACTAGTAGTCTTATCCTCGGAAGAATCTTTCACATGTTGATGTTTCTTCTGGACAGTGCTACACTGTATAGCAGGCGTAGGTATACAAACCTCGACACGCTGGAAGACTACGTTAAAATCGTTCCGGTACTCACTGGGCGTGTTGAAGTCGTGGTTGCAGTACTGCCAGGGCAGGTCGGACGTCATGCTGGAGTACGTGTAGTACACCGTCCACGCGATGATCATGTTGTAGTAAAGACCGATGGCCACCGACGCCAGGAACATCGCGATACCGACACCTGTCGCAGATAATAGGCGCATTATCTGCGTTATCTCGCGGACTGTGCGTCCAGATAAAAAGTTTTCTTATCCCGCGCAGGGCTGGGGTCTCCAGCCGAACGCGAGGGGCTAGGGGTGGGTAAATTTTACCCCCCCCCCCCCTGTTATCTCCCGAACTAATGGTCCGATTTGGAAAATTCAAACGCCACTCGAAAGATCACATCACGAACAACTAAAAACATGTACTTAATTAAAAGTTTGAGCCTTGAGGTCAAGGTCAAGGTCAGGTCAAGGGTACAAATTGCAAGTTTCTACAGTATCGGCCTTGCACCGTAGTTGCCGAAGAATGGACTGAGACTGATTGCCCAAAACGTGTTCTTAGGCTACCAAGACAATATTCCTGCTTACAATATCATTCAGAGGTCACGGTCAAGGTCAGGTCAGGTCAGGTCAGGTCACCAAAAACAAAATATAGAAAAGGGCATGTGCGACACATGTTTTATGGGTCATTTTATTCATAGAATTCAATAGGCACACTCAATAGGTGATATGGACCACATCTGGATGAATTTCAGGTCGAGGTCACGTCAAGGTCAGGTCAAGTGAGGTCAAATTTTGAAGTTGGTTGTTAAGGCCTAAAAAGGTGTCTATCTGATGCAGTTTTTCACGGCGAATCGAATAGTGCTATTTTTGTTTCCGTACGAGGTCTAGAACTTCCAAAAAAATCATTTTTCAAAATTTTTGTGTGTCGTGACGTCATGAAATTTTTAATAACTCCCACATTTTTGAATCGATTCTTCTAAAAAATAGTATGTAGGTGCACATAGACCACATCTCTGACATATATTCCGGTTTTCTCGATACACTCATAATTTTGGATTTTATAATTATTTTCCCAAAAAAGTCAGTTTTTTGAAAAATGTTTGGCCAAAATCCAAAATTTTCAAAAAACCGAGATAGCCATGTGATAGACACAAAAGAATTACGTATAACCTTTTTTTGTTACGTCTTGATTCCTTTAAAAATGAAGATGTTAGAGGCGTTTGAAATTTTGCCGTATTCGAGTCGAAAATGGTGAACATGACGTCACTAAGACGTCAATTTCTCAGAAATTTTCCGACGGATTTCGCTCAAATTTTCAGGGGACGTGTCAAATTGATGTACAAAAAGGTACTGAAAGTTTGGCGGTACTGCGCGCCGCCGTTTTTTGAGTTATTGCAAAAATTCGTGAGGGTGGGTAAAATTTACCCCCCCCAGCCCCGCGCGGGTTATGAGTGATGGCTAATCGAGCTTATTCAACGTTTTGCTTCTGCCGTATTTACATATAGTTAATGAGGTATTCAATATTGCCGAAGACACTAGCAATGCAAGCGTAAAAGCGTTTTATAATGTACGCATTCTTACCTCTCATTGCCGGAGCGTAGTTTTTGAAGAGACTGACGGGTGCCATGGCGCTGTACTGTCCCAAAGTCAGATCCAGTAGGAACAGGGGAATGCCCAGGCCGAACAGAGATAAGACGTACGGAATGAGGAAGGCACCTCCGCCGTTCTTATAGCACAGGTACGGGAACCGCCACACATTTCCGAGGCCTGTAACGTGGAGCAGCGCCGTCACCGGGCACATATGACGTCACATTGTGCACAAAAACAGTTGTTACAGGCATGCAAGCAGCTTAACGCCTATATATTGTCAGAGTATAAGGATATGTTACGAAGTAGTCTCTGAGCGTCAATATTTATCACTAATTCACAACATTCACCTGTGTCATCTGCAACATCTGATATCGCGAATTGCACACTAGACCACTACCACATATTTTCTCGCAGACATTGCAAAAAAGAAACATCCCCACCAACGGCATATCCGAGACAGGAGAGCAGAAAGTCGAGCTTGCTCGTCCAGTTGCCTCTCTCGGGGTTTTCGTCTCCTTCATACAGGTTGTCTGTCGAGTGTGCCGTGTCGGCTGCCTGCTGTGCTTCAGCCTATCGATACAGGGGAGAGGCGATTGACCAGCTTCACTCAGGGGTCTGGTCATTTTGTAATAATGCTGAACACAGAAAGAAAGTGTGCCGTTATCTACGGAAACAGCCTGTTTCGGTTAACCCTATTCCTGGCGGGGGGGGGCCTCAGGAGCCCCCCCTGAGGTTTTTTGGTTATTTCTCCCAAACGCGTTGAGCTAGGGGGCTCAAATTTTCTGACTTTTCCTAAAAGGCTTCTACGCAACATGTCTGAAAATTTTGAGTTGATCTGACCTCAGGTCAGGTCACCAGAGGCGGTTTGGTGACCCTACCTCAGAAAAGTTTGCAATCACGCCAGAGCTAGAGTTTTTGACCGATCAATTTCTTCTCTTCAGGGTTTAGTTAGGGTACCAGTATGTGCAATTTGTATATCTCGGAATTTTGATATCGGTGACCTAAGGTCAGGTCAATTTCGCGACCTCCCCATTATAAGTCAATGGGGGAAAAATCAACTCCCTGTTTTTACCACTAAAACGGGTCGGAATGGCCCCATATACCATACATGACTTCATATACGATCAACCTTCACTACCTTGAGGTCTGTTTTGCTGTTGGGCAGCTGTGAGGTCATGTGACGTCATCAAAGGTCACCAAAGGTTTTTGGCCAATAACTCCGTACAGGAACAAGATACAGACGCGTGGATGGTCTCATTGTGTTCAGCTCGTCAAGACGCATCGAATTATATACATGATGACCTCGAGGTCACGTGACCTGAGGTCAACCTTTGACCTTGACCTTTCGAGGTCAACATATATATCATTCGATGCGGATTGACGAGAGGATCACGATGATGCCCTTAGTTTGTTCCTATGTTGACTAATTCGAAAGTTATTCGAAAAAAACTCTCTCCATATCTAGCGCCGCCATTTTGACTTTTTCGACCCCTGTGACGTCATCTTTGACCTGACCTGAAAATGACCTTAGTAAAAATTGTAGATCTTGGCCGTGCGTATCCGATGCCGTTTACCGCTTGTCGTTATCTTGCTTCGTTCTCGAGATCTCAGGGGGGGGGGGCCGAATCGGCCCCCCCCCCCCCCGCCAGTTTCTTGTCCCGGCGGAGCCCGCCAGGAATAGGGTTAATTCACTTGCTCTCCTCTCCAAGGAATTGCCATCTAAAAACCAAGCGCCCGACGGTCTGGGTCGAGGTTCCAGTTGGTTGCGGCAAAAATTGATATTCAGAACGAAAATCTAGTAATTATGACAATCCATGCGTCTGTTTAAATAATTATCTTGCAAAAGTAACAGAAAATAAAATACAGAAACGTTCCCAACTCCTACTACATTACCCAGGTCCACCGTTTTTAGCTCCACCGAGACGTGGAGCCTCCAACAACACGTGTTAGTGGCTCTCTGTGGTGCTGTTTTGATGAACGGTGCACACTTATGCTGACCTTTGGGCGCACAGATTTAACTTGACATTTTTTTAGCATCATTGATATCATCTTGTAGGTCTGAGCACGTTCGTTTTTTTTACGTGGAGTTCGAGATCAATTAGGGACCAAAAGCTAGGTCCCATTGCTGGGAACGAGAGGGGCTAACAACCTAGTTTTAGCATTGCTGCCTTATATAGCACCTACCTGCTTACTGTAAGTTAGCGCCCCCTCCCCCTTAATCCTCACCCCTGGAAACAGCATTAATTTCTGAACTCTCCTTTAACCAGCGGCACGTTTCAATTAAAACCACTGCCTCGCCTCCACTCCCGCACCTCAAATCGTTCGTGACGTGAAATAATTTGATCAGCAAAGGCAGTCTTATCGTCTCAGTCTGAGGGCTGCACCACGATCGCTTTTAGGTACTTTTCGCCTTGATACTGCTGTCGACTGTTTCAAAATAATGTGTTCGGGAAGCTGAACATGGGAGAAAGCGTTACGAATGGTCTAAAAACTATTATCTCAAATCAGTAGCATGAAACTGATCAAAATAGTAAATGAGTGCAATTTATGGTGCCTAAAAAATATCCTTGCTGGTTGCTAGATTGCCATGAAAGTGAATGAAAGAGTGATTGAAAAATAAAAAGGTTAATCTTTTAGCATTTTCGAGCATCTTGACTCATCCACATATAAGGGGCTCGAATTTCGGGTGAACCCCTCGGTTTTCCCCGAATAGCTCACGAAAAAAGCGGCCGATCGCGACAAAGTTTTCCGTACCCTCGAGTTAACCCGCGGCCTGATTGGGTGTCAGGCAGCTTCGCCATGGTGGAGAGGGGGGGGGGTCGTATTTGGTCACACTCGAGATTATCTCGAAAACTAAGAAAACTGAAAAAATGCGAAACAATTTATGGAAAGCTAGCCGCAAGATGTTTGGAAATAATCTACATAGACCGTATTGGGTCAGTTCATAGCTGAGGTCATTATAGGTAATAGGTTACCCAAGGTACCTATAATTAATACGACGAATTTTCCCGACATACACATTCTTCACAAATTGGCGCATAGCTCGCGAAACAACAGAGCTGGAGAGTCGCAGAAAAACGCACTCGATAGCTCTCTCATATCTTTTTCGTTAGATACACTTTTCTTATAATTATCTCAGGCCAATTATATGCCTACAGAGAGTACAAATTATCAATTTAAAGTGATTTTGCCGAAGAAAGTTGCCAACATCGGAGCGACAAACGGCAAACGGCATTTGATAGGTCGTTTAAAGATCTACAACTTTTACATAAAACATTTTCGGGTCAGGTCAATATTGAGGTCACCAGAGATCATCAACGACAAATGTTTTGGAATTGTTTTTTTTTATATAACTTTTGAACTAAGAAACGTAAAGACATAAAATTACTTCATTTTTTGTTGCTCTCGTCGAGGCGATGCGAAATAAGTATGCGATGACCTTCACAGGTCAATTTGAAATTTGACCCGAGGTCAAGGTCATGTCATTCACCAATGAGGTTGTCGGATATGGTCATGTTGCATATCAAACCACGCGCCTTGACTTGGTACCACTTACATTAGCACCATCATGTCGTGATTAATTGACAAAAAACAATTATTTATGACGTCACATGACCTCAAATGACCTTTCCCGGTGCCTCTGTCAATAAGCGGGACCAGGATCATCACCGATGAGATAATCTTCCATGATACTGAAAAAATTGGGTGGTTTTGACTCGTTTACACAAAGCAGGAAACATTTGAATATTTTCTTATAGGTTTGCAATGTAAAGGTCAGGTCAGGAGTCTGGCCTGACCTCAGGTCACAGATATAAAAATTATGAGATATGCACATACTGGTACCCTAAATAAAACCTGAACAGAAGAAATTGATCAGTCAAATACTCTAGCTCTGGCGTGACTGCAAACTTTTTACTTTCATGAGGTAAGGTCAACAAACGGCCTCTGGTGACCTGACCTGACCAAACCCGGCAACTTTTTTGTCAAAATGTGCGCAATGAACGTTTAGGAAAAGTCACCGAGTATGAGCTTTCTTGCGGCGTTTGGCAATGGCACAAGAAAAACCTGAGGGGGGTGAATCGACCCCCCCCCCCCTCCCAGAATAGGGGTAAGGTACCGACGAGACGCATATCATGTCCAAACGCTAACCCTAGAACGCCTAGGGGGGGTTGTATCAACCCCCCCTGAGGTTTTTTCGAAGTGCACGCTAAACGGCTTGTCGTAGCGGGCTGAAATTTTCAATACCCTCTGGGGCAACCTTTGCGCATCTTTTGCCGAAAAAAAAATTGATCGGGTCTTGTCAGGTCACGGAGTTATGACGTCATAAGAGGTACAGCCTCCGGCCGACAGTTACCAAACGTGTGCGCCGAATCCCTAGGTTTTCTGCCGGTGATACCCACATTGTTTGATGGATCATGATGAAACTTCCCATGCATGTTGGGGCAAGCATTGGCTATCGTGTGGTGCAAGAAAATTGACCGGGTCAGGTCAGGTCACGGAGCTATGACGTCACAAGAGGAACAGCGTCCGGTACTATTTTTGAAAAGCGCCCGAACCACTATTTTGCTTATTCTTGTCACCTCAATGGGAATATGCAGCAATATTAGCTTCTATAGGGAGCAAATGGACCTCCCAAATCAAAAAATACAATCAGATTTCAAAAATTTAAATTTTGATTTTTCGAATTTCTGCCGCCGACTGTGACCTTGCCGACTTCCGGCGCTCCCAACGCGCCATTTTTAGAGCTAGGGAAACGAAATACATACCAAACGATAGAGAATTGATCAAGGAACACAATAGTGAAGGTTTCAAGTCGATATCTCCCACCGTTTTGCCGCAATCGCCGCGGAAAATTGAAAAAGTCTATTTTTCCGAAAAATTTGACATTTGACCGGTCATAAGTAGGTCAAATGTTGACCTAGGACCAAAAAATATACCACCAATCGCGAGATCTCGTTGAGAGCAATCCGTTGGTTTTTTCCGCTAAGCTCTACGACCTTCCGTTTCGAAACGCCAGGGGGGGTCGTAACAACAACCCCCCCCCCCCTTGGTCGTTCGTGTTATGAGAAATGGCCTGGTCGTGCGAGGGCTCTCGACAAAATATCTACATACCTTTTTCTTCTGAGGTTCCATTGCTGAGTGAGGTTCGCCGTTCTGACCCAGCCGATCAGCCGAGACCACACAGCTCGAATGCCAGACGGGTCTGTTTCGTACGTTCGCACCACCTCCCCGGGATCACATTCGAGGCCTGAACGTGCCTGAGCAGCTCTGTGGTAATGGTCTCCCGCACCAAAACCTCACGGCCTCACACCTCCAACAGCAGGAGGTGTGACGTCACGCACTGCCAGGCTCTGATTGGCAGATAATGCCGAGGACACGTAAGAAATCGGCATTAATTCAGGCAACACGTGATGGGCATAAAGTTCGAGCATATGGTAATAAATAGTTATTTGTTATTTATGTCATTCATCAACCATTATTGTTATTTATTACACTTTGATACAGACGTGACCAGCTATAGATAAACCTGCACCGCTTGGGCTCTCGGATTTCCAGGCCCTGCTGGGTGTGGGGTTTGGACACCCCATTCTAGCTCGGCTTCTGGGTTGCACGCAGCGACATATACGGTGGGCGACGTTCGAAAGCCAGCGTCAAAAGTTATGTCGATCTTAAGGGCATATATTGCATTTTAATCAAATAATGTTATGTAACCAACAGACATTGCATTCTGCACGAGCTTTTGATTTATCTTCCTATTCCTGTCAGTCACCATCAGCCTATGAAGCAGATGTATTTAGTAGTTCCTATATAAATAACGGTATGACATGAAAATTGCACACCTTGCCATGCAGCATTACATCATAGTTGCTACTGGGCAAATAATTCACACGACTGCAATCAGAGCAAACAAAACATACCTACATAACAATCCGTCCGCGATTATCAGACGACAACAGAGCAAACCCCTAAACTCGAGGACAATGTGCGCAGGATGTAAAGTTGATAAACACAGATGCATACACAGAGTTTGATATCGGTATGTCGAACTCTCAGGTCAAAGGTCATCGTCGCCGTCGTCAACGTTGAACGCTGCGTTGTCGACGCCGGTCTCGGGCGACGCCGCTAGCTTCTCCCGGTCGGCGATATTTCGCGAGTGTTCGTACCAGGCCTCGGTAGCGCGGCCAGAGTTCCTCAGACGCTGCGGGGAAGGTCGGCGGTCAAACAGATTGGAAATCTCTGATGGAACACACGTCAACACTGGACGACGATGAGCCATTGCGGACCGGCTCCGCTGGGATTGTCTGACGGGACTGTGAGAACTGATAGTTCTCTATCAGCCTTCCGAGGTGGCGCTGGCAGCTATGTACCGAAGTCCGAACTATAATTTACCAAACTTATAGTTATGTTAACACCTAGTTATAAGAAGTATGATATTCAAAGGTCGTTGTTGTAGCGTAGCACATTCCACTACTTGGCAAGCATGAGGGACGAGGGTATCTACTCGTAACATCCATGTGGCTGAGCGTGGTTCCAATTCGGAAGGGCTGGAGCTCACTATGAAAGCTCAGCATTCAGCACAAGCAGCCACAGCTCACCTCTCTGAAGTCGCCCGTCTGCTCGCAGGCGACGTTGTAGATAAAGCCGCCAGGCACCACGGCGATGATGAACATGGCGATGGCCCAGCCGATGCCGTTGGCGTAGGGAGGGTAGACGTAGCCGTCCACCTCGTACGGTTCGTAGTTGATCCAGCCGAGCAGCAGAATCAGCTGCCAAACGAAGGGTGCAAGTAGGAATAAACTTCGGTAAAGACGGCTGAGTTGGGAGAAAAGGGAGAACGAGCAAACATTATGGTGTTACGTGTCCGAGACTCCAAGCACCTTTGATGCGACTATGGGAACTATAACCGGCTTATTGTTATCACGCCTTGCGCTTGTTCACGAAGTCAAGATCGAGCGTCGTTTTCTTCTACATCAAACAAGATGATCAAATCTGATTGTGGTGAGGCCAATAAACAATTAAGAATTGACATCTCCCACAACGAAGAGCTCCCTGCATTCTGCATGCGCCACGGCATCTCGTCACATAAACTGCGTACGTTCCCAACTCCTTCAAGACGCCACCCTTGTCCAGGTCCGATTGTCGAGCCACACTCACTGCCACCAGGAGAGGAGACACGGTGCCGTAAATGGTCGTGATGTGCGCCTTCAGCCGGAAGCCCGGGTTGAAGCCCACCAGTGAGGCCAGGTCGCGGTAGTAGTTGGTGATGCCGTACAGCCAGTACATGCCCAGCAGCTCTGTCAGGCCGATGAAGAGGTACGGCCAGCCCGCAGCGTAGTTGTCCATCAGGTCCACGACGTAGCGGCCGCCCTGGAAATGGTTCAGTCGTAGTGAGCTGGACTCCATGCTATCTCCAATTAAAGGCATTTAAAGGTCAAAAGTAATAATTTTCCCGAAGAGTTCAGATTAAAAAGTTATCGTTAAATGTTCTGGAGCACCTAAAGCAATTACCTCAGTTGTGAGCGGTATGCCAAGTAGAAAAAGCGTTACACAGATTCCTACGACCACCCAGGGCTTCCACTGGCGCAGCTTCGGGAACTCGTCCAGAATGCAGGTGATGATGTTCTCCACGATGGCGAACTGGGAGTCGAGTCCGAGGGTGAAGAGCATCAGGAAGAAGAGCAGCGCCCAGAGAGTGGAGACGGGCAGACGAGTCACCAGCTCCGGGTAGGCCACGAATGCCAGGCCTGCGATATGTAAAAGGGTGAATCCGTTAGCTTCGAGTAATCAAAACAGGATTCTCCATGAACGATGTTAATAGTTCCCTGCAATAAGTGCTGGCATCTGATCATACCAGTCATTTGCAATATGGCAATAAATGCTGGTGGCGAATGAAGCGTAACATATGACAAAGCGGTTTCCACCTGATCCACTTTTGACGACTTCAGATACGGGAACTTCCAGCTCTTTAGCCATGAAGCCCAGGACGGAGAAGATGGCGAAACCAGCAAACACGGAGGTACAGCAGTTGCCGAAGCAGACAATTAAGGTGTCCCTGGAACAGGCGGGCATTCAGAGCTGTATGTACGATGCGGAGCATTGAAAAAAGTGAAGCATCGCATCACAAACATCTCCTAAGATATGTCACCGCATGTAGAGTAAGTTGTAAGTACCTGATGACGTTATTGTGGTACTTGTTGTAGCTAGCAAGGGTGACCAAGCCTCCGCTGGCGATTCCTAATGAGTAGAAGATCTGGACGGCAGCCTGCACCCAGACGTTGATGTCACTGAGTCGGTCCAGGTCTGGGACGATGTAGAACTTGATACCCTCGGAGGCACCGGGTAGCGTTACACCGCGGATCAGCAGGATGATGAGGATGACGAACGGGAACAACGCCGTAAAATACACCACCTGCCGCCAGTAGATGCAACGAGTAAGAACACGTGAAACAGACGGGACAGACTTCGAAGACGCTTTACATCACTGTCCCCGTTTAACCCTATTAGTGGCAGGGGGGGGGGGGTTGTTTTTATCCACCCCTCAGGTTTTTCGGGAATATCTCCAAAACCGCTGAAGCTACGATACTGAAATTTTCTGACTTTTCCTAAAACTAAACTGGGCACATTCCCTGAAAATTTCAAGTTCATAACTTTACCAGGGGCGGCTCCAGAGCACTGGGAATTGGGGGGTCCTATTCGTGAAGCGAGTCATTTGGGCGAAGATCACGATGCTGCACCAGTTTTACGAACAGTGAATAAAAGGTATCATGTGATAACATATACAGTTATTGTGCATCCTCTTTTGACACGTTTTTGCTATAATAGGCGGATCCAGGCGTCCAAAAAGGGGGGTTATGTTTTACCTCCCAACATAGGTGCCCTGACACCGCCTATGCATTACCAATACAATTTTAGTCGTTCTCTCATAAGAAAATTATAACATAACAAGACCATTACCACCCTTTTTAGAAACAGTACCAACAAAAACCTTATTTACCATACTTTTTGTGTACCCCCAATCTCAATGATCTGTATCCGCCTATGATTTTTGAAAATGCATATTTTTAGGATCCATGTGAATTCCTGGTTCATTCTCTATCGATCGGCAAAAGTTGCGTTAAGATTGGTTCAGAAACCTGGCCGTGATAAACAGTCTAAAATGTATCTGCAATTTGCCCGTTTTTACCCCCCTCTACTATTGACATTTTTTAATTTTTATTTTTTAGAAATGTAGATCACGTTGAGCGAAATCGAATGCCGTTTGAATTTTGAAAATCGGCCCGTTAGATCTCGAGATATCAAGGGGGGGTCGTAAACAGCCCCCCCCCTGCCACTAATAGGGGGTAGCCAGGAGCCTGCCACTAATAGGGTTAACCCTCGCCCATGAGGGGGGGGGGTTGGTGCAACCCCCCCCCCTGAGGTTTTTCTTAGCTACACGCCGAACCGTTTCAGGTAGCCTGCTCAAATTTTCAGTACCCTATAGGCATCCTTTGCGCAACTTTTTTTTTGTCAAGGTCATGTCAGGTCACGGAGTTATGACGTCATAAAGGGAACAGCCTCCGGCCAGATTTACGCTAAATTGGAGATTGCTTCACATTGGTATAAATGCCGACTGACCTGACACACTGATGGATTGTTTTAGAATCATAACTGCCTGATTTGACGTTGGCACAATGTCCGTTGACATTTTGAAGGTCACTAAAGGTCAAGGTAAGGTCAGTGACCTCGGTTGACCTGTAATGACTTCTTGCACTTGTATGCCTTTTCGGGGTATTTTGATGCCCTGAATTCGAATTTGCTATCCGTTTCAGGCATCGCCGGTTGTTTCTTGTAGTTCATTTTGGGTCAGGGTCAGGTCAGTGACGTCACACGCCTGGCGTGACCCAATGCACAAATGACCTTGCAGACTTCCGATGCTCCCAACGCATCATTTTTAGAGTTATGACATCGAAATACACACCAAACGATAGAGACTTGATCAAGGATCACGATAGTGAAGGTTTTAAGTCGATATCTCTTACCGTTTTGCCGCAATCGGCGCGGAAATCTGAAAAGTTAGATTTTTCCGAAAATTTGACCTTTGACCGGTCATAAGTAGGTCAAATGTTGACCTAGGACCAAAAAATATACCACCAATCGCGAGATCTCGTTGAGAGCAATCCGTTGGTCTTTCCTGCTAAGCTCTACGACGCTTCGTTTTCAAACACCAGGGGGGGTCGCACCCCCCCCCCCTGCATGGGCGAAGGTGGCAAAACACCGTTTACGGGCGAGGGTTAATGGTTGAATGAAGTTTGCTGCGACGAACTTCGGAAGTGGCATTGCTATTTCTCATGAAAGGTCAATCCGACAGCCACAGTAGT